CTGTAAATATTTTATATAACTCTTTTCTATTACATCTCCAATATAAACCAGTGGCATAATACCAAGGTAATTTGATTTAAAAACAAACAAACAAACAAAAATCCCCAATGCTTTGAGGGACCAAAGCAATGCAATACAAACATACAACTATTTATTATTTTATCCAAGGATATTTAGTATCTATACAGCATGGGGCAAAAGTAGGTTTATAGTTGTTTGTATGGGAAATAACACAATAAATAAATAGTAATACAAGAACAAACTTTCACGTACAACTATAAACCTACTTTTGCTCCATCCTGTTATTCTTCAGGTGTCCTGGTCATAATTCTTGGTTGCAGGGAACAGAAATCCATTCAAATTAGTGTAGACAATTTATTGAAGCATGTAAACTAAACATAAAGCAAGAAATACTTTGCTTCCATCATTGTCTTCAATCATGCTATATCAAACCTCTTTCGTTGCCCTTGCCCACATCTCAGGCAGATCCTACACTCTTTTTCGTCTCTTTCAGGTATTAAAAGGTCCAGGCTAATTTAACCTAAAACATTCATTTTTTTAAAAAAGCTTTATTGATATGAATTCCATACGATCCACCAATTTAAAGTATAATTCAATGGTTTATAGCATATTCATAGTTGTATAATTTTGGAATATTTTTATCACCCACAAAACAAACTCACATCTAATTTAAAGTCCCTCCCCTTTCTTGGCTTAGGGAGAAAAGTCATTTTTATGATTTTCCTTGTTATTCCAGCTTCTCCTCCCAATTCTTAATTCCATCATTAGGGCAAGGAGGTGAGGACCAAGAGGCAAAGATAATATCATTGAGCTGGTAGGGTGGCCAAATTTCCCCAGTTTACCTGGCACTGAGCAGTTTCCCAGCATGTGGGAATTTCAAGGCTAACATCAGAAGAGTCCCAAGCAAACTGGATGGCTGGTCCCTCTGAGCTGGCACCGTTTGTATTTCACTCTTGCTTAATCAATGGCTAATCCTCACACTCCGTTACAACTCCTTCCCAACCCTTAGCTTTCCTAACATTGGAGACCTCCAAACTGCAATTTCCTAACACAGGTTATATACTCCGGATGACCTCTTCCTCTCTCAAATCCTGTCCTTCAGCAGCGTGGTCTTCCACCACTAGCAATATGTTACGGCGTTGAGGTGTTAACAAGATAGTTCCCTTATGAGGTTAAGTTCCTACTTTTATGACTAGCAAATAAACTAGAGGCCAATGTTTTGGCACCATGTGGATACTCAGCTCCTACTTTTTACCTAATAGTTTTAGTATTAGAGTGCAAAATGGTTATTCTCTAACTTGAAGAGATGAATAATGTTACTATGTATGTTCATGTACAAGTTTTTATATGGGCATGTTTCGATTCTCTTGGGTATAGACATACAAGTGGAATTGCTGGGTCATGTGACAACTGTTTAACTTTTTCAGAAGCTCCCAGACCATTTTACAGAGCAGCTCCACCATTTACATTCTCACCAGTGGTATAAGAAGATTTTACTTGCCCCACACTTGGTATGGTCAGTCTTTCAGGTTATAGTCTCATCCTTGTGGGTATAAAGTGGTATCTCATTGACTTGCATTTCCTAATAACTAATGTTGAGAGTCTTTTCGTGGCCAAATGTGTACCTTCTTTGGAGAAACATCTATTTAAATCCTTTGCCATTGGATTGTCTTTTTATTGTTGAATTGCAAGTAATCTCCACGTATTCTGAATACAAGCCCTCTCTCAAATGTGTGATTTGCAAATTTTATCCAATTTTCTGGGTTGTAGTTTCCCTTTCTTGATGTTATCCTCTAGAGCACAACTTTTTAATTTTGATAAAGTCCAATTTTTTTTTTCACTTGTGCTTCAGTGTCATATCTGAGGCTTTATCTAACCCAAGGTCACATATTTTATTCCTGTTTTCTTCTGAGTTCTATGTTTTAGCACTTTTTTTAGGTCTATCTTCCATTTGAGTTAATTTTTGTACATGACATTAAGCTTCAACTTCATTCTCTTGCATGTGGATGTCAAGTTTTCCCAGAGTCATTTGTTAAAAATACCATTCTTGCCCCAAGAGTTGTCTTGGCATTCTTGTCAGGAATCAACTGACATATTGATTGACATAATGTAAGTATTTCTGGATTCTCAATTCTACTGCATTGAGCTATACATTCATCTTTATGCCACTATGACATTGTCTTAATTACTGCACTTTGTGGTCAGTTTTGAAATCACGAAGTGTGAGTCCTTCAACTTTGTTCTTCTTTTCCAGATTGTTTGGCTATTCTGGGTCCCTTGTATTTCCAGATTATTTTAGATAAGCTTGTCCATTTGTTTAAAAAGGTAGTTGGGATTTTGATAGGAGTCGTATTGATTCTGTAGATCAATTGCAGAGTATTGCTATCTGAACAATACTCTTTCAATCTACAAACATGGGATGACTACTAATTGTTATATTTTTTAAAATTTCTTTCAGCGATGCTTTATAGTCTTCAGTGTACTGTCTTATACTTCTTTGGTTAAATTTACTCTTTAAGTAGTTTATCCTTTTGATGCTACTATAAATGGAATTGTTTTCTTAATTGCATTTTAGGGTTGCTAATTGCTAGTATATAACAATATAATCAATACTGTATATTCATTTTATAATCTGCAAACTTGCTGAACTCCTTTATTCATTTATTTGTGTGTGTGTGTCTATTCCTTAGGATATTCTATGTATAAGGTCATGTCACCTGTAAATGGAGCACTTTACCTCTCTTTCCAATCTGTGTGCTTTCTCACTTTTTTTTATTGTTGTTCAAGTACAGTTGTCTCCATTTCCCCACCACCACTCGCCCCACCCCAGCCATCCCAATCTGTGTGCTTTTTATGTCTTTTTCTTTCCTAATACCCTTGGCTAGAACCTCCAGTACAATGTTGAGTACAAGCGGTGAGAGTAGATATCTTGTTTTGTGTCTAATATTAGAGAGAAAGTATTAAGTATGATGTTAGCTGTGTAGGGTTTATTTTTGTTTTTGATAGATGCTCTTTATTAGGTTGAGGAAGTTCCTTTCTATTCCAACTTTGTTGAGTTTGTTTTTATTAAGAAAGGGTACTGGATTCTGTCAAATGCTTTTTCTGTGTTGATATGATCACGGGATTTTTGTACTTTATCAATATAGTGTTACACTGATTATTTGATGTTAAACCAGCTTTGCATTACTGGTACAGTATAAATCCTACTTGGTCACAGTGTATAATTTCTTTAATGTTGCTGGACTCAGTTTACAGAGCAAAGTGAAGAATGGATCTGGAGGGGCAAACAGAAGATATTTAGCATAATTACCAAAGACAATGCTCCTTTCCCACTGGCATCATAATCAGTGTGAGTATAAAATTTGATGGGTATAATGAGGCATATATAAAAATATGAAGACATTGTCCTCTAGCCTCAAAATACTTACAATACTCTTGAGAAGAAACTTATATACATGAAATAATCAGTAAATATTTTAAAACAGGACTAAGGTGTAGAAAAATAAAATCAAGGTAGGGATGCCCTTATGTTGCTTTTAATTTATACAGTAGAAGGCACAAAGTATTGGTTTCAATACTCAATTCCTGGCTTCCTGGGAAGGGCTTTTAAACTATCAAAGACTGATACTAGAAAGTTAACCTAGAAGAAAAGAACTAACATTTAATTGGTGCTTACTATGTACTTGGTGCTTTAATATATCATTTAACCAGAAGCCATGGTTTAGTTATTATTCCTGATTTACTAATGAGAAAATCCAAGTTCAAGGAATTCAGTTAACCTTCTCATGCTTAAACCTTGGAGCCAGGTTAGCACAGGTGTGTCTGATTTGCCCAGGAGTGTCGCTCTCTGTACATCAACGTTCCAGAAGCACCTTAATGCAGATGACTAGCGGTTAGTAGCCTAGTATTCAAACAATGTTAATTTGCTGTTAAACTTTGACCAATTTCCACCACTTCTCAAATCTCTAGCTAATCTGTTATAATAAAGTAGAGATGGTAGTAGACTAGAGATGGTCTGCTCTTTTCTTTAGGGTGCAGTGAAGCAAGCAGAGGGGAGGGTTAGGCCAAAATACTAAACATGAGTGTATGTGCAGGTGTGTATGATACTTACACCTCTGCCTCTATATTCCAAAGCCAATCATGACGACTGTTTTTGAAATATTTATTATCTTTAGTAGTAGTCTGAATAAGCAAGAAAAAAAACCCAGTGAAGTTACTGTTGATTTTTAAATAGTTTGCCTCTCATTTTTCATAAATTACTTAACAAATATTCAATTCTACATTGAAATTGTACCTGAAAAAGTGAAGAAAGGCACTAAGATTTGAAGGTGAGGGAAGGGACACATTTAAATGAAGGCAAGGCTCTTAGTGTATACATTCGTAAGTACCCAGATCTTTGCATGCTATCATAGAGGCTCCATTAACTAGCTTCCTAATGAAAGGCAGGCTCTTTATATTAAGCTTCAGTTACTCCCCTAATATAGAAACAACAGTTCTATTATTAGTGTGTTAGTATAAAATGATACTACAAGTATCAAAGTGACAGATAAAGCTAGTAATGAACTTCAGCATTCAGGACCTGCTCATCATTAGACTACATTCTCCCGATCTGTAGCCTCAATTGAAAGACTACAGGTCTTTGTCAGCTGTCAAATGAACGTTATGGTTAAGCCACTTCTCTACCTGGAAACAGAGGTAGAGGTAACCTGGTCAACATATCACTTCTGCCTTTTCAAGTTAGGGAACTTTTACACCCTGCTTCCCAAGTCTGGGGATTTTTATGATGTACCATTTTGCTCTGTATCCTTAGCATCCTGCTTAGGGTACCATATCCAATGAATACATAATAAAGAGAAAATGGAGGAAAAAAACAAAACAAAAATCTTCCCTTTCATACTTGGCTAGACTGTATTCAGGGTAAAAAATAAGAGACTCTGTCATTAATAGCATGGACATTTTTATTTTACAAAGCAAAAATACTCCTATGAAATTGACCCTGAAGTCACACTCTAAATTCATACCTTGCAGTTGAATTTTCTCAGTTCATCAATTAATCCAATGGAAACAGACTAAGCCTCTGTCTACAGAAGAAGCACAGACCAGATTAGTCATGGCAATGAGTCTGGGTGGCCAGACTAAGCAAAGGCAATGATTGTAGCTCTGCTTCAAGTTCTTTTTCTTCTTGGAAACGTTCCCCATAGCCATGTGAAACTTAAAGACTGTGACTGTCCTGGCCAGAGAAGCAGGCTACAGTTGTGTCGCAGAGAACTGTAAAGGACTCTTCTGTCTTCATCCTGTGATAGCCACGTCTCTCAGGAGGTCCAGCTAAACCACAATATTCTTTGCTATAGCATTCAAAGTCCTTACTAGAGTCACATCTGTTACCTTCAGAGAATACTCTGAGCTAGAAAGAGAGGCTCCCATGGCAACAGAGGAATTTCTGCAACAGAAACAATAAAGGCACAGATAATTATAGAAGTTATTAAATAGGCCCTCCTACTGGCACTTCATTTTATTGGCTACTTCATGGCCTAGAAGAAGGGTAAATCAAGGACCCTGGGCTGCTATAATTCATAATTTTTATTAATTAATTACTTGAAACATCTAGTAGCCAAATCTACCAAACAGTGCAATTGATTTTGTATCTAGAAATGTAAGTTCTAAGACTCTTGCTTCTTTTACATCACATTTTCCCCCAACTTATAATCAACCGCTAACCATTAAATTATAAGAGTCCTCTCAAGTCACATAACAGTTTCAATTCCTTAATGGTAATAAAATTTCAAAATTACTGAAAATGGAGCAAGGGTAAGGGAAGACTAAATATTAAAGGCAGGCGGGATGAAAATAACTATGACTCTCCATCCTCACCCCACAGCTATTACGTTTGCTAAAGGAAAGCCCCGGAGGAGGAGCACACTCATTTATCTAACTCATGTGAAGCTTAGCTGTGAAATTAGTTGACTATTAACTGGTCTAAGATGGACAATCACTTAAGGATTAAATGGTTCACCTATGTTCAGAAGAGCCCGCTTATTCAGAGCAGGGTAAGAATGACTGCAAGACTTATGTACTAATCACCACATTCCATTCATTCATTATGCTATTAACTACGGTTTCCTACGCGGGAAGTAAAGATTAATCTCATCCCTTCTTGTGCGCATCGAAGAATACACTTTTACCGAAACGTCATTCCTGAATCTCGAGCACACCGAGCAGAACAGTGGAATTCTGTAGCACCCGAACCCTCAAGGATTCTTTGTAGATTTCTGTCTGTTATACCACCCCCTGTTGGAAAAATAAGTAATACATTAAGTAGAATAGAATTTTGCATACAATTTAATGAATAATAATGACTGCTTGCTCTACCTACTCAGCTAGAATAAAGTTAGAAAAGAACGATGAAAGACAAACTACAAATTCTAAAGAACAACTGGTAAGGTCATTGAACATATGATGGAATCTTCTATGTCCACTGGTTTACATAACAATGTTAAATGCTACAGATTTTAAATCTAAGAAGGTTACTCGAGGGCAAGGAAAATCATCAAGAATTCTATCCCTGCTCCCCCTCAGTTAAAGAAAAAATCAAATTAAAACAAAGGAAGGATAGACTTGAGGGCAGAGCTACAAAAGCACAGCCTCAGAAACGTGTCTGAAAGAGAACCCACAAGACTCTGTCTGTGACCAGAATTCAAAGACCACACTGTCATTGGACACGGGAACAATGCCAAGTGTTATATAGTTGATTATCATAATATTGATTTTTTGTTTCATTTCACGAATCTACCTCTTCTTTATTAAAACTATACATTCAAATACTTTAAGATCATTCATTTGTTTTGATGAACAATCTCCTAAATATTTATATATAAAGAATCATATTCTCAACTGATACCAGATTATAAATATAAAATTAGTTTATTCATCTTTTTATCCTTATCTCCTAATGTATAGGAATATTCAATAAATATTTTTAATGACTGATAAAATATGTACTTGGTATCTCAAGCTGCTCAGGTTGCTGAAGTAACTTGACTTCACACACTTTCGGACTCATAGACTTTATTTTCTTAGTGGTATAGTAACATCACTGAACTCTAAGAAGTAAAAAGAATACAGACTGAGAAGTCAGATTTAGATTTGAATTCCGGCTTCACCACTTTAACTCTTCACAGTTATATGATCTCAGATAAATAACTTTAAACCACTGAGCCTCAATTTTTTTCACCAATAAGAGGGATAATTGCCTACCTCAGAGCTCGTTATAAGGGTTAAAATACAAACATGTTATTTCCTTCTAACAAACAACAAGATATCTGGCCATTGAAACCATGTTGCTCCAGTTACCAGCAATTTTAGGACATAGATAAAGCATTTTCCAAACACAGAGTGACACATCTTAACAGTCAGAACCTTAGAGGACAATTAGTTGAACATCCTCCCTTCACAGATGGGAAAACTGGTGCCTAACTTTGTTGGAAGCCTCATTATGAAAGTCCCTAGACACAGGGGTGTCCAGCCTTTCAGCGTCTCTACACCACACTGGAAGAAGAGTTGTCTTGGGCCACACATTAAATACTTTGAGACACGTAATCACAAAAATAATCTCATAATGTTTTAAGTAAGTTTAGGATTTTGTGTCAGGCCACATTCACAGCCATCCTGGGCTCATGCAGACCACAGGCTGCAGGTTGGACACCCCTGCAGGAAAACTACTGTGTTTTACTTATCTTTATATTTCTCAATAATGAATACTCATCAGGCATTTAGTTTCACTTACCTAGGAATTTTTACTTTTTGGTACTTATTTTATGAGACAGTAATAATTTATAGATCTATTCTGTGAGCTCCTCAAGTAGAAGGATTACTTTTTATTCATTCCTGTTTTTTCATATCTCCAAAGAACTTGGCATATAATTATCATTTGCTTGGTAAAGTTTGTTAAATGGCCACAAATATTTTCATATACAGCGTCTTCTCACCTAGGACTGTTAGGCCTCTTGAGGAAGTAGCTTCTTGTGTAACTCTGCATCCCAAGTAATGCCTTGCACATAGCAGGTAACTTAAATTAATTATATAATAAGCAAAGGCAATCTTAATATTAACAATGATCTAAGTCTGGCTATTAGTTATCAAGAGTACATATTTAGTCTTAAATGGAAACACATTACACTCAGTTAAGTCTCTTTAACATTCCTGGATTAATTAACAAAAGGTCTCAAATTTGACAGATAACATACACTTTCTATGTGCTCATGTTTCAGGGACTTGCTACAAGGAAAAATTTTCCTAAATTTGACACTATCCCTTTACATGGCCTCTTTTTAAAGTTGGCCTTTGTTTGGCTATCACCATTCTGACCCGGGGGCAGTCTTGGCATCACTGGTGGTGAGACAACCAGACACTGAATCACCTCTTCTGATGTGATGTAACATGATATACACAGAATCGCCCATCAAGCAGCCTTGCCGAAGTATTTAACCAGAATCCAACCAAGCCTTATGATCTAGCTACCAGTCTATAGGAAATGCAGAGGCTAGGACATACAAGCTAAACGATATCAAAAGGAAACAATCTGATAAATCCAGAAAGTAGGACATTTTACAGGGTAAATGCCCAAACTTTTTAAATGTCGTTTTTAAAAAAACAGGAAAAAGAAAAGGAAAACTTCTATATTAAAAAACAGTGGGATAACAACCAAGTGCAATACTGATTCCCCAATGGGCTCCTGATTTGAACATATCAGTTATAAAGAACACTCTGGGGGCAACTAGAGAAAGGAGAGTACTGCTGAGTATTAAATGGTATTAAAGAATCAGCATTTATTCTGATAAACATGACGGTATTGTGGTCACAGTAAAATGCTCTGATTTTTAAAGACGCACAAAGATAGAGTGTCATGGTGCCTTTAACTGAACTTTAAAACACCTCAGGATGATGAGACCAATGTTACAAAATGTTAAATCTATGAAATAAATATATGTTATTTTATACTGTCTTATATGTTTGAGAAATTAATAATAAAAAATTAAGACGCTCTTTATATTTGTTTCCCTCTGATTCTAGGTTGCCTATTTAATTCTTTAGAAACTTCATTTCTTATGAGCCAGTGTTTACTTTATCGACCTCACAGTTATCATCAGGAGTGTGTGATCTGAGTGTTCCGACTACAAGAAGAATTTGGCAATCAGAGATTTTTAGGACCTGAGTATTATATTTATCCAGGGTATTATCTGCACACACCTTGTTAACAGCTTGGACATTTGGCCCTAGCATAGTGTAGCAGCAAATGAGTGTGCCTTACCAGGGATGAATACCCACATTCACAAAATTCTACACCGTGGGAGAGCAAACATGGAGAAAGCCCAATCCTAATCTAGTTCTTCTCTTGTTTTTCTCTGAGTTTATCCCTTCTAGAGTGTTCTCTTTATCTAAAGCTTTAAATTCCAGCAGAGATCTTCCTATCTTAAGCATGTTAATCGAATGATATGTTCTTTCTGAACACCACACACTAACAATACTCTCTCCCATACCACCCTGCCTCCTTGCTCTCTCTCTGCTACAGTTCAGTGGTACACTGGGGAACGGATAGATAAATAAATACCTGGCATTACCACAATCCTGTCTTTTGCCTGAAAAAAAAAATAAACAAGTAAATTTTAATATCTTTCTCTAAATGAGATAATAAGGCAGTGAGAACAGAAACGTAAGTTAACTTTTAAAAATTACTATTAAGTGTTTAATTTTCAATAGATCTTTTCTGTTTCTTTGGGATCTTGGATAACTAAGATGTTCAACATAGTAACTCTTTCTATCCAGTTATTTTATTGCATTACATTAACAATGTGTACTATTATAAACACAAAGAATAGGAGAATACAATATAAATACTGAATAATCTCACCACCTTAAGAAAAGCCATTACTGAAAAATAACACTAATCTGAGTTCTTAGTATATGATGGGACAGAAGCAGCTGAACTTAAACAAGATTTCAGCAGGAGAGAAAGAGCATAGCCTTACGGTAAATTACTAGAAAAAATCTACTCACACTTTGAATCCTCAACTAAATTCCCTAGCTTATTATACCAATTAAATAAAACCATAGGTCCACTTAGCTAGGTTTTAAGTAATAATACTGGACTATATGGATTGATTTCATTAATGATAATTCTAGAAGTATTGAAATTTCCTTACTTTTATTCCAATCTCCATCACATTTCCTAAATAAATTTTGGTGATATATCACTGAAAGTCAAAAGGAAATCACCCCATTACAAATGCATGCTTAGTGGAACTACCAGTAGTGGAACTACTAGTAGTTAATTCCAACTAGTTAACTACAACTAGTAGTTAACCACTAACTAGTTAACTATTAGGAACAGGTAGATACCTGTTCAGAAAAAGAAGAGAAAAAAACGTATGTACTATGTCAGGCTTATAATAATTTGCAGAATAAAATCTTTACATTATACATAAATTGAAATTTTTCACATGTGGATTCCCTGAGATGGGTTTTTAACACTGGACAGCCAATCAGCCAAGCCGACACAACCCCAAGTCATCTGCCCCACTGTTCAGCCCACGCATGCACTCATCCTACACCCTGCCCAACTCAGGGTCCGGCAGGCAATCTTCCACCGAGGGCTGCGGAACAGTGGAAAAAATTCAATCAGGAACCACCCATAACTGAATTTCTTTTTCCATAAAACAATGAAACATTCAACTACTGTGTTCAATAAATATGATTAATGTTGAAAAAATACTTAATTCTATGTCACGTCCAGTCAGGACAAATGAGAAAACTGAAAGATGGGGTTAGTGTGGGGGAGACGAATGGGGAGAAGAGAAGAGGTCTCATGTCTGGTATGAGAAGGGGGCAGAAGGGAAAAGAAGAAAGAGGATACACGGGAACAGAAGAGAAGAGAAACCAAAAGAAGGGAATAAAGTAAAAACTGACCAACACCAGCAATCACAACTGCCAAAACAAGGAGGAGCGGCAGAAAGTCGTCTCAAAAGCAGTGACAGCATGGAAGTGCTGAAAAGGGAAGGGGAGACCTGCAGGAAGAGTCCAGCGATGGTGGTGAGGAGAGGGAGAACAACTTTCTCCTTACTTTCAAGACAATAGATACTTGAATGAGCTTTAAGTAACTAGCAGTGTACAGTTAAGGTGCACATTCAATATGACTGTTCCTTGAGGGATTTTATGCAGTGAGGCAACAAATTCTAAAGAGCTGGATATACTGTAGAAGCCTATGAAAAGGATTCCAAGTTTTTTTAGTTTAAAGAAAGTGAGGGTAAGGAGCCATCACGGTGAGGACCACGTGGCTTCCGAACACCCTGCTCACTGGTACACCAGGGGTAGGAAAAACCACGCGAGGCAAAGAACTTGCGTCGAGATCAGGACGGATATACATTAATGTGGGTGATTTAGCTCGAGAAGGGCAGTTATATGATGGCTATGAGGAAGAGTATGATTGTCTCATTTTGGATGAAGATAGAACAGTTGATGCGTTAGAAAACCAAGTGAGTGAAGGCGGTGTTACTGTTCATTACCACGGTTGTGATTTCTTCCCTGAATGCTGGTTTCATATCGTTTTTGTGCGGAAAACAGAAAACAGTGTTTGTACACAAGACTTGAAACAAGAGGTTATAATAGAAAGAAACTAAAAGATAATGTTGAGTGTGAAACTTTTCAAGTTCTTTATGAAGTATTAGCAGCCTATAAGAAAGAAATAGTGCATCAGCTGCCCGGCAATAAGCCAGAAGATCTAGAGCGTAACAGCACTCAGATACTGATGTGGACTGAGCAACGGATCAGAGCGCTTGACTTACAAGACTGGCCACTTTAGAATCATTCTTAATATTTCTCTGCCCATGTCATATAAATTGTCCAATTATCAGTAAAAACTTCGATTAAAATTGTGCTGCAGAACTAGTAGGTGGATAGTATAAATGTTTATGTTTGGGTTTCTTTTTTCTATGAGAAAGCTAAGCAATTTCAAGTATAATGCATATAACATTATTAAAGACAGAACAAAAACTGTCATCATTTAATACTTCAATTGCTAAAGAATAAATAAATCTGACTCCCCAAAAAAGTGAGGGTAAGAAATGATATGTGGGTGCAAAAGGAGAAACAGAAACCAGTAAATGACTTGGAAAGAGTGGTCATAGAAAAAAATGATGAATTGCTGCAAAACTGTTTTAGTTGCATATTACAATATTAAAGTATAAAAATCCCCATTCTTTTGTAGAGTATGAGCCAACAACAAATTATCTTCTACACCATGCAAAAACAGAACCCCAAGACCAGTATTTAAGTAACAGAGACTGATAGGGGAACCCAAGAGTTAAAGATTTTAGTTTCAAATATAGTTGATAGCCTTAAATGATTAATGCATGTGCAAAGCTGTTATTCCAGGAACTGGAACGCATGACCTGCACGACTCTAGGAGGCTGACAAGCAATTCAGCCTTCATGCCCCAGGCATCTGCAATTGATGGAGATGGTACCCATTGTGTTCTAGGGAGAGAACTGCTGTGATGCAGATAAAGAATTGTTGACGAACAAAGAAGTACTAGGAAAAATCACTGCTGGCCTGCAACTCATCCAATTACTGTATTTTGCCATTTATAACGTGTACTTTTTTGTCCAAATTTTTGAAGGAAAAATAAGGACGCACATTATAAATGGGTGGTGCCTGGAATACCTTGAGTCTGTTCTTGTGTTTTGTAATTATTTGTTACATAAATTTCTTGTACCATATGTTCACAAATAAATGTTAAAATTCCTTTATAATATAAAAAATGAGTACTTAAATATAAATAAATAACTGAATTAAAAAATTAAAGCGAGAGTTTTTTTTTTCCTGAAAGCTTGGGCCAAAGACGTCAGTGGGCATTATACACAGCAAAATATGGTAACCTTTTCCCTAAACCCCTTACCTACCCTTTCTTCTCCTTATAAAATGGTCAGCTTGAGATGAGATGTTAAGACAGTAAGTGGGGGCACATAACCTGCCTCTTCTCAGATCACCAGCATATGAATAAAGCACCCAGAAAGATTCAATCCTTGTCTCCACTTACTGATTCTGGTAGTGACAGGCAGCCCAAATGCTGACTTTTCCGGTTTCAGTAATAATAATAATAATAATAATAATGCCATAATTAATAGCACTGAAAATTTACTGACAAGATTACAGGTGTGCTACACACACACACACACACAGTAACTATATAAACAGATATGAGCTTGACTGTAATCCTTTTATTATATAATGTATATCAAAGTATGTTACATACCTTAAATCACACAATTTTTATTTTTTTTAAAGTTAGTGTATAAGAAAAGTTAACCCAACTCTTCCTGTCAAGCCATGATTAAACTACAAATCTCTTATATACCCAGAGAGATTTAAAATGCAGTATGTGACTATGGCAATTATTCTCTACTCCATGCTAAGCAACAATTTAAAAATGAAAACCTGATACATCAACTCTTCTATTTTAAAACCCTGCAGGCTTCCCCAGTACACAAGGGATAAAATACAAACTCTTAAATAGTTTTCAAGACTCTGGACAGTTTCTTCTCCTCATATTCAATATTATAGTAATTCTTCAATGTCTTAAGTTATGTTCACTTTTGTTTCCACTTCCTTGCATAAACCATTTATTCCACGCGGAGCATTCCCCCACTCTCCCTCTCCTCCACCCCCTTTCACATGGATAACTCCTAATCGTCTTTCAAATGAGCAAAACCTCACAGTGCAGACATCTTTTCTTCTGAGAAGCTAACTACTTCCAGCTCCCATCCCTCAAATCTGGAGTTAATTCCTGTCTCATGTGTTCCCACAGTACCTTTATTTATAGAATTCCATGAATATTGTTTGCTCTATTAAAAGTGCCTGTTGTGCACTAGACTGTAACAACAGTGGTTACACACACACACACCCCCTTTGTCATCACCATAATCAAATGCCCTGCTCCCACTATATACTTAATAAATATTTGTAAAATCAACAAGTTCCAGATTAGCAAGGTCATATCAGATTGTTATGTCAAATTTCCAAAACTTGTTTTCATGGCTATAGAAAAGCAAACATAAACAAATGTCTACCCGGGAACACTAAATAATATTACTAATAATACCAGTAGTAATAAAAATAGAAACTAACATGTATTAAAATGTATTATATGTCAAACCCCGTGCTAAGGCTTTTAGATAGCTTGTCTCTACCAATCCTTAGAGCAACCCTACACAGGAAGAATTAAACTTATCTCAGTTTCACACTTGAGGAAACAGAGGTTTATTTTTTTAAAATAAATTTTTCTATGTTTTTTTTATTTTGGTTATTTATTCTTTTTTAAGTATATTGTATTGATTATGCTATTACAGTTGTCCCATTTTTTCCTCCCCTTGTCCCCCTCCTCCCCCACTACCCTCCAGCATCCCCCACCCCACACAGTTCACGTCCATGGGTGGTACGTATAAATTCTTTGGCTTCTCCATTTCCTGTACTATTCTTAACTTCCCACTGACTATTTTGTGCCTACCTATTCTGCTTCTTATTCCCTGTACCTTTTCCTCCCATTGTCCCCCTCTCCCTCCCCACTGACAACCCTCCATGTGATCTTCATTTCTGTGATTCTGTTCCTGTTCTAGTTGTTTGCTTAGTTTTTGTTTTTTAGGTTCAGGTATTGATAGTTGTGAGTTTGTTGTCATTTTACTGTTCATAGTTTTTGATCTTCTATTTCTTAGATAAGTCCTTTTAATGGTTCATATAATAAAGGCAGAGGTTTAAAGGTTAGTAATCTATTCAATATTACACAGCAAATAAATTTCACACCTGAGTCTCAAATCCAAAACTCTCTCTTCTCAAAGTCCATACTCGCTAACTTAGAATGCCTCTGGACTGATGTCAGAAAAACACAAACACACCCCAATTACAAAACCACCTTCCAACTGCTCTACAATGATGCTAACACACCAAGGCGTACAGGAGAAAAATATTATATTTCCTCCTATCTTGATACATAGAAAGAGACAGGAGAAGAACATAGTTTTAGTTTCAGAATTCACCTAAAAACAAGAATTATTTCAAATTTTATATGGGATCCCCTGAGTATACATAGATTGCCAGTGAGAAGATGTGGATTAAAACTATGCAATGCTGATGGCAGAGAAAAAGTAAAATTTGCTCTGCTTACCCAAATTAGGTAAGATCCTTAGGCACTGTCTATAATCTGATCCTAAGAGCCTTAGTTACTAAAAACGCTCACATGAAAGAAATAAGAATTACATAAATATATTACTACATGCTTGCTTTTTGCAGATAGTACACGTGAAGTCAGTAATATCTAGTTTCACAACCTAGCTGAACAACAGAATATCAGGAGTAACCACAGTAGTCTTAGGAAAAAAGAAAGAAATTGTGTGTACCTGATCTACGAGCCGCTTTATTAGAGGTAGCCCTTCTAGAGCCGAACTGTCACATCCACTGGTCAATACTCGTTCAAATCCCAGGGTTAAAAGAGTCTCTAGAGCTGCCATTGGATCATGAACCATGTCAAAGGCTGAAATAAATAAAACTGATTTGCATTCTGAACAGACATCACTGACACAGTGCTTTCTAAAATGTAGTGTATACACAGTGGTGAGCTGGACTTGGCTTGTGCTGGCTTGCAAGAGCCAATTTTTAAATATTCAGAAATTTTGCAAATATGATCATTAATTCATTGGCAGCTTGAAATCACTGAAGGTGAGAGCATTTAAACCACAACAATCAACACATGCCACTGATTGAGGCTTTTTTCCCCCCAAGAGCCAGTTTACCGGCACACCACAATGTGCACACCACTGGTGGTGTGCACGATCATTTAGGTGGTACACATTTGAATAGATGCATTTATTAAATGAAGTGCAGATGAGTGAGAAGTTTCCAGTTTTCATTAATTATAAATGTTTCTCTTTAAAATAAATTTATTTAGGATTTACTTTAAGAAAATTATTAAATAAATTTGCACAGGTAGCAATCAGGTATGATAAAATTGTAAATATAATAAGCAAGTGACACAGAATTGGTAAAGTGTACCTTAAGGCTCAGACAAACAAAACAAGTAGAATTAAACATTACTCACCAGTTCTAAACAAGGCATTGATTCATACACTATTTCATTTAAATACATGAGTGAACCCAGGCCAACATAAAATTTTGAGAACGTGAAAATATTTTTGCTGAACTTACTGAAAAATTTAATAAACTTATATAAAATAAGTTAGTGTCTGCAGGTGCGACTGAAAAGTTAGTTTTGTGATTGCAAAAGAACAGAACAGAAATTTGGGATGATTTTCTTAGTTTTAGAACAAAAAATACATTCAATATGATGGGTTTACTTTGAATTATTTAGCATGTCAAATTTTAAACTGTGTTTTTCAGATATTTATTCATTAAAATTACTCATCATATTTCAAAATTTTTTTGACTAGCCTCAAGGTTCTGACTTTTAAGCAATCGAACATCTTTTAGTTATTGTTAGTCAATGAGAAGCACAGCTAAATAGCAAGTCAAGAAAACAGTTTTCTGGGTGGTATTACTCATTTAAAGAAAAACAGGGTAATAAATGCTTTGTCTCTAGATTATATAAATGGATGCAAGTGTTGGTGTCTACTCATATCCTAATCTCTGAATCCTTACTCAAAGGTCAGAAAAACATTCAACAATTTCTCAAGCATACTATCAAATCAAAAAAAAATTGACTGAAGACCTTCCTTCTTTTCTTGTGCAATAGCAGTGCCCTCTGAAGGCAAAACTGATGCTTGTTCCTTCATTTTACCAAAATTTGGCAAGTGTATGGAAATTATAACTATCTGATTTATAGACAGGAAGTATTTTCATATGAAATTAGATTCATTTCCGAAATTACTCTCATGAAGATAAGCTCCATCAGAAGCTTATAATGTGAGCCTGAAATTGCTTTACATTATTGTGAAGCAATTCTGTGCACTATAGTGAACATTCACCTGTTCACTGACTGTCCAGCATCTGTATCCTCTTTCTTCCTTCCTGACAGAATCTCATTCTTCAGATATCCATGCCCTCTCTGCCCGTGAACCATATATTCTCCTGGGAAAGCTGACCTCACTTCTAGCTTCAGGAATGGTGTCGTCTAGCTTAAGCCAGGCAGTAAATTTCACTTCACTGGCCACAGTAAATTTATTCCTTTGGGGGTTACGTATGACCTAAGGCAATCTAATAAAAATGAGTCCAGGATTCTTGCTTGGAATGCTGTGACAAGTACATATACTTGTAGGCCATGCTTTCTCTCTCCCTCTATTGTTTATACCCCACACCACAGCCATCTATTTTTTTCACCACCGTGTATTTTGAACAACATTTTACAACTAAGACTTCATACATCTAGAAGTTGTGCATTTCTAAATTTACAACTGTTAGTCCCAAGATCAGTATAAAGAAAGCAATTGGTAACACTGTAACACTATAGAATTTTGTTCCAAAAAAAGGTTGTAGCATTTGGTGAAATCAGATAAGTGACACTATTCAAGAGAACTTCTAAAATGGAAATGACTCACCTCGGTGGAAAGTGACTGGCAGAGGACGGCACATAGCTATGAAAGAGTCACAGAACAACATGAATGAAGAGATCATCACTGACCGCTACATACAGCATTCTGCATGTTACATGGGACTCATACAGCTTCCTGTCCCGAGTGAACCGAAATAATAATAAAACGGCAGCCCTCTAAATTCAGAAGTCCTATGTTTCCATTAATCTAATTATTATATTTTAACAAAGGATCACCCTCTCCTTAGAAGCACCAAACTAAAGTTATAAAATCTGGCAACTATAAGGGCAGCATTCATTATATTTATTACTCACTCTTCTGAGAATCTTCAATACTTTGACCTAGTAACAGATAGTTTACTTCTGTCCTCCCCACATCTCCCCATCCTCACCAAATGCAACAGCTTTTGTGGTTTTTGGTGCAATAATTAAAGGAATCAAGGTAAACTCTCCTTTAACAGATCAGGAATAGCAGTAGCAAAACCAGATCTATAGCAACTGAAAAGAATCAGGAAGGCTATGCCACACACGCCCTCTGCCCAAACATCTCAATAACTATTGTGTATTGTGTATAGGTGACTATAAGTGCCTGCAGACGTGACTGAAAAGTCAGTTTTGTGACTGTGGTTTTCTGCATCAGGAATATTAAATGCAATCATCATTCAAAGCTGTTTGGTCCCAGACACAAATTCTTACCCACAAGGGATGTACACAGTTCTTTGTCAACGTGTCCATCTTCAGTCAGTGCCCCAAACACCAAACCATCAGCACCATAAAGCTTGGCAAGACGAATGTCAGCTTTCATCACCTCAACTTCGCGATCTGAATACAAAAAATCACCTCCGCGTGGCCGGATCATCACAAAAACTGGGATCTGGACACATTGCTTCACTACTTGAAGAACACCTACAGGAACAGGAACCAGACTAATTAAAACGCAAATGCGAGCTAAAAGCTCAAGGAAGTCAGTAAAATATTATTGGTCTTTTAAGTATGCTCTTATGATAGTATCACTTCTGTAAGGAAAGGAAGAGTTGAATGAGGAAACCAGAGAAAAGTGGACCTAAAAAGAAGGAGGATACTGAGAAGAAAAAAGTAGACACAGAATAAGCTAAGTAAAAAATCAAAGGTAAAAAAAAGAGCAACTTGGAAAACAGAAAGAAGTTACTGCCTTTTAAAAGTACTTGTCAGTTGACTCCACAAAAACCCTTTCACTGGTACGGAACGTCTGAAAATGTAATAACCAGCCGGCTCAGTGCTCTGCCGGTGTGCTCCCTAAGATCGGTTTCTCCTTCCTAACCGATGACAGCCTTATTTAAAACCTCCTCCAGTCATGGTCACACAGTGTTAAAGTTTATGACCCTCTAATGGACAAAGACATTTTAGCAAAACCCTTTTTGAGAGAGAGATACATAAAAGGGAACAAAATTCTACTTATGTGTGATTTTACACAGAGATCTATGAATAAAAGTACCTAAGTGTGACACAATTCAGAACTCTTCAACAGTTATGATTTCTGGCTAGCACCATTAGTGTTTACCCAACATGAATTGATTTCTTTCTCTTTGCTAAAAGAATCCCAACTTTGCACAGGATGTCAACATGCCCAACACCAAGCACTGATTTATGGTAGCTGTTGCAAAAAACAGACTGCAGTCAAAGTTACAGATACGTTCTAGAAATTTCATAAGATGGCTATGGAATACCCTCCTTCAGTGAGATTTCAAAGGGCTATTGCATATATATTTACACTAAAAAATGCTATCATCAACCTCAAAGTAACATATTGTATTCAATAAAAAATCATCAGGCAGGAAAATAAGATGCATCATGAGGTGATAAATGAATCAAACAAAACCAACCTAGAACTGATAGATGTTAGAATTAGCAGCCGAGTCACTAAACAAGCTATTATTTATTCCATTTGTTCAAAAAAGTTAACAAGGTACTTGGGAGATATAACAACAGACTCAAACTTCTAGAGATGAAAATCTATGTGTGAGATGAAAAACACATGAGGTGGGATTAACAGCGATTAGACATTGCAGAGAAAATATTAGTAAACTTGAAATCAAAGCAATAGAATGTGCAAAATGAAACACAAAGAAAAAGGAGACGTAAAAAAATTGAGTAGTTCATCAGTGAATTGTAGAACAAATATAATCAAATATTTAATTGAAAATAATCAATTATAAGAATAATTGAATTATCATAACTGAGTAACTTGAGTTGAAGTCTCTGAAGGAGGGAGTAGAGGACATTGAATGCTGAAAATTTTCCAAATGTGATAAAAAATATAAATGCACAGATCTAAAAAACATGAAGAAAATTACACTCAGGTACATCATACTAAGAATAAAGAACAAGCCAAAAATAAAGAACAACCACCAAAAAAACCTTAAAAGAAACCAGAGAAAAGTGACACATTACACAGAAAAGTACAAAGGTATGGATGACAGTGGATTTCTTATCAGAGACAATACAAGCAAGAAGAGAGTGAAGAAACATCTTCAAAGTACTGAGAGAAAAAAACTGTCAACCTAGCATTCTACTCTAAGCAAAAATATCTTTTAAAAAATAAGAAAAGATGTTTTCAGACATTCAAAAACTGAATTCATCACTAGCACACTTGCATTATAAAAAAGTGATAGAAGAATTACTTCAGGCAGAAGGAAAATAAAACCAGACAGAGATATAGATCACACAAAGGAATTAAGAACACCAGAAATGGTAACTATGTATGCATAAATGTGATTGTTCTCTTATTATTTCAGACTCTTGAAACAAAAACCACAGCTGTAAAACTGTTGTGAACTGCATGGGCAAGTTAAACAAGCGTGGAGTGGTCAGCCTCAGGTCTGATGTGCAACTCAAAGACGTACAAAGTGGCAGACCAACCTGCTCCCGGCCTGTCAGTCTGGTTTCACTGCACTGACGTTGGCGGGCATTACAGGCCGTGAAGAAGCAAGACCAAAACACATGGGAGGGAAAATCCTGGGACTCCTTGTCTAGGGATGTGATACATAAATGTGCAAATAAAATGCCTCAGTGGAAATAACAACAACACAGTGTGGAGTTTTTAACATATGTAGAAGTAAAACACAAGACAACAACACAAAGACCAGAAGGGGAGAAATGAAGACAAAAATCAATAAACCGAGGATGCCAAAATGGAAAGATAAATTACTGCACAGCAACTAAACCAATATTAAGAGCAATTACCTATCTCTCAACTTTTTGATGCATAAGGAAAAAAAATCAACTTGATCACATCTTTGATACACAAGCTTATTTACAACCATAAGCACTTCTGATACAATATCCATAGCATAGTTAACGTGGTAGTAGCATCAGTAAAGTATTCCAATGAAACAGATGGTCAACTGTCTCTTGGCAATCCAAAAAATGGTTGTTTACCCATGCTGGGTGTGGTTCCTCCTTCCAATAAACCTGAACATAATTCAATCCGACCAGCACCTGTAATTAAAAAAACAAAAAGCATTGCTCAGCAAAAAAATTTTTTTAAATGAAAAAAAAAAGTTAACATGTATAATTCACATACCATAAAATGCAGCCATTTAAAGTGTTTAATTCAATGATTTTCAGTATATTCACAGGGTTCTGCAACCATTTCCATGACCATTTTTAGAACATTTTCATCAACCCCCTAGAAAACCTGGCGTCCTTCCAGCAGCCACTTCCCCGTCCCCAGGTTCCTAAGCCCTAGGCAACTACTAATCTATTTTCTGTCTCCATAAATTTGCCTATTCTGGATACTTCATACAAGTGGAATCATACAATATATACTTTTTACTGTTTTGTCCCACTTAGAATAATCTTTCAAGATTCATCTATGATGGAGCATGTATCAGTACTTCATTGTTTTTTATTGCCAAACTAAGAATGGCATTTACATTTTCAAAGGATTTAAAAAAAAATGAAGATGCAACAAAGACCAAACATGTCCAGGAAAGCTGAAAATATATTGTATATTATGTTGCTCTTTACAAAGAAGTTTGCTGATATCCCCAACATGGAGGAAAGATTGGCCATGTACTGAAAATGAGTGAAAATGAGTAATGGGTACGTGGGGATTCATTATACTATTCTATTTTTGTACATGTTTGAATTTTTCCATAATAAAAAGTTAAACAATTTTTCTTATCCTGAGATGATGGGAATTTTTATTACAGCAGGTTCACAGTGCAAAAGTAACCTTGACATAAAAATAATGTAAAAAAGATAAGATAGAAGTCCTAATAATAAAAATCTCTAAAATCATCTTTTTAAGTCAATGGTTGGAAAAACATTAAATCTTTGCTAAATTCAATAAAAATATGAAGTTGGTGAGTAAGCACTATTGTGGACACTGACTCAAAATGTGACCTAATAGGGGAGTACGACTAGAAGATCATAATTTTCAAGTAGGTTTTCTAGTTGGTCGGTTGTTTTCAGCAGGATTACTAGGATCCTTCCAAATCACGAAGGCTTGCAAGATCAGTTCACAGGATTCATTTTCAGACTCTCAAAAGGACTATAAACTGTCATTCGTTCTCTAATTTCTCTTACCTCCTCTTTCGGCATTTACAGCTGACTCCACTGAATCAACACACACTTCCATGAGACATCCATTTGTTGTTCCTAAAATACATGAAAAACAATGCAATACCATAATAGGACTATTCATCCAGAACAATCTATCACTAACATTTTATACTTGGCTGCCAAAACCCAAATGTCCAATAATAGGAAAGTAGATAAGTACACTAGGGCCCATGAGTGAGTGCAATAAAATATTAATTATAAAATTGATGTCTGTGGACTACAAAATAAGAACACACACATATGTATAAGAAATTATACTGAGAAAAATATACACTGAATGCCAAGCCAATCTTCCTAAAACACAGACCTCATCATCCATTTCAGGTCACGACTCTTTCAATACTCCTCAATGATTGCCTGCAGACTGCGTTTAAACTTCTTTACAAGGAATGTATGAGAGCTGGGATGGACTTCAAATCCTAGCCCTGAACCACATACTTGTTTGATTCTAGACAAATTACTTAGCCTAAATTTCCTATGAAACAGAGGGAGTTTTACTACCTACCTCAGAGCAGTAAGCATAGAGATCATTCATGGGAAGTGGATACTATCGACTAAATGTATAAGAAGTGTTAGTTTCATTGACCACACAGTATTTTCTCTGTATGCCTCGTTCTCCCTAATCCCCATCCCTGTTCTTGCCAATGCCACCTCCTCAATCCACAAAGTCCTTCCAGCTTCATCTTTGACTTCTAAACTCTTCCAAGATTCATGTTAAGTCATACAGTATTTCCATACTTCCATTCCCAAAGTAGGACATTGTATCTCCCTTTTTTGAACTCATTAACTCTTTATATGTTATATGTTCTTCTTTAAAACACTACTTGTATCTATTCAAAATACTAATTATTTTCTAGCTATTATTTTTATTTCTGCAGATAAGTGTCTGATCACTCTTACTCATTTTAAAGTTCTCAAGGCCTGTATGTGAGATCTTTATCACTCACAGCAAAGCACACTGTCTACCATGGTACACAACAGTCAGGCAAAGATTTATTAAAGACTGAATAATTACAAATTCATAAATTTTTTAAAGGATTTTTTTCATTTATTTTCAGAGAGGGGGGAAGGAGAGAGGAAGACAGGGAGAGAAACATCAGTTGGTTGCCTCTCGTATGGCCCCCAAGGGGAACCTGGCCATCAACCCAGACATGTGCTCTCACAGGGAATCCAAACAGCAACCTCTCAGTTTGCAGGCTGGCACTCAATCCACTGAGCCACAGCAGCCAGAGCTTAAAAAAGATTTTTGAATGCACACTTAATGTAATAATACCCACAAGAATGGTTAGCACATACTGATAGATTTACAACTAGGTGCTGGGATTTGGAACGCCTTTATTCTCTTCTTTTTTACTTTCCTACATTGCTTGATTTTTTCTACCCAATACTGCTTTTATTATTTTTTAAAAAGCAATTTTTAATTTGAAAAGCAAAAATCTATCACTTACTAATGTCAAGTTGCAACTGCCTCATTTATTTAAGAGAAAACTATCAGCCTCAAACTGTGAGGGAGTTGAGTGCCGCCCTTTGCTCTCACCCAACAGTGCTGCATTAACTCCGTGAGCTCCCTGACAGAGCCAACCGCACCAGCCGTCAGCCTAATCCAATTGGACAGCGCTGCAGGGGGACCATTTGCCTCTCGTGCAAGAAAGAGCCTTGGACAGCAGAGAGTGGGGATGCACACGAAAGATTGGAGAGAAGGCAGAATAAGGCAATTGTCCTAAAAAAGAAGTTACTTGTAGAAAACCAAGACAAAGATACTTCTTTGGAGCAGCAGTTCTCGAAGTGTGGTAGGTCAGTTAGCTCTGGGGACCTTAGGAATCTTAGGATTGTCTAAGATCCTTTTCAATCAGTGCAATGAAAATTTTCATAATGACATTAAAACTTTATTTGCTTTTTTTACTGTCATTATTTCAAAACAAGTGGAGTTTTGGGTAGGCCACCAGATGTGTCAGGTTGAATGCAGAAGCAGGTATAAGAAAACAGGTATGAGAATTCCATTAAGCCAGATAGTAAAGAGATCTACAAAAATACAAAACATTGGCACTATACTATTTTGTTTAGGAAAATATTTTTCATAAAAAATGTTACTTGCGTTAACATGTATTAGGTTTATTACGGTCACCTTCTAGTTAATATTTTTAAAATGTTTTAATTTCGAATACAGTTATCAATAGATTTAACCTATATAAACAAGAGGTCTTTGAGGTTCTCAATTTTTAGGAGTGTAAAGGGCTCCTCAAAATTGAGGACCACTGGTTCATGGGGGAGGGATCTGCCAAATCCCTAGCACCTGCCATGATATCCTACCCCGGCGTGACGGAAGAACTCGGGACTTGGTGGCAGCCACAAGCTTTGCCACTTGGTAGTTGTGTGTCTTTGGGAACAACCCCCCTCGCTACTGAGCGGTCACCACAGGTTAGTCACTGTGCTCCGCACTCGACGTTTAACTATCACAGCGAAGCCGCGAAGAGAGGACAGAGATCCCCCGTGTGGCGACTGGAAACGTGAGGCTAAGAGAGGTTAACCAACTGGAACACGGCGGCACGACGACACACGCGGGCGCCGGGATTCAAACCCACACATCTGGCTCCAGTGCTGGGCCACTTTCGCTACATGCCCCTGCTCAGGCTACCGGTTCCCACGCGTTTAAAGCCGAATGACAGAACGTGTCGCGCAGGGAGCTCTTAGGCAAATCGCGATTAACCCTCGGGTCAGAACCCAAGCCGGCCCGCCCCGGGAGCGGTTGGGTCCGCGATCCCCTCCCCTCCCCTCCCTCTTCCGCACCGGCCTTCCCAGACGCAGTCCGCGCCAGTTTCCGCTCCGAGAAGGACCCCTGCCTCTTCATCTTCCAGGCGCTCCTCCCACGCGCGTCTTCGGTTTCCACTAAGAGTCCCGGTTCGGCGCGCGCGACCAGAAAAGCGCGTTCTCACAGCTGCTGCGCGCCCCTGCACACCCGGACCTGCACGCCCCAGCAGCCCGGGAGAAAAACCTAGTCGCCAGCGCAGGCGCAGTCGCGGCTTACCCCGGCCGTTTGAGGAGGAGGGGCTTGCTCTGTGACTCGGAAGTGCTTCTTTCCGCTGCAAGAAAAGGAGATTGCAGAGATTGCTGGGGTTTGGAGTTGGCGGCTGTTCGCTGTGCTCAGAATGCAGCGATTACTGTTTCCGCCCTTGAAGGCCTTGATGGGGAGCCCATGCCTCCGACTCCTGGTTCCGAGGGCAGCGCCTAGAACGCAGGTACCGCACCGCAGCGGACTCTGTGTCGCGGAAGCGGGCGTAGGGGAAAGAGCTTGGAGGAAGCTAATAGATAGAGTTCAAAACGTATTTCCTTGTTTCCAGAGCCTCTGACTCCTGAACTGGACCTGTCAGTTACTAGCTGTTTGGTGTTAGCCAAGTTAGCTAACCTTTCTGTGCCTCAATTTTCCCATCTGTAAAAATGGGGATAACAGCAACACTTAGTTCATAAGATTGCTGGAAGGATTAAATGTAATATACATCAAGCACTTAGCACAAAGTGATGCTCAGTAAATTTTACCCAAATATTTATTTTTTGCCAGAAGTCCCCAGGTAGTCAGATTAGTTATAATTCCCTTCTACAAAGAAGGAAAATGAGGCTTAAGTTGTCTAAAATTACTTAATTAGAAGCAGGAAACCAAAATGGGTCTTCTGAATTTTAGGGATAGAGTGAGAAGAGGGTGTGTATCCACTCAACGAATAACTGTATTGAATGATTGTGTTAGGAACTGGGAAGTGAAAGTTAAGCACCAAAAGGTTACTGCCCTGGAGGAAGCCACAGTTTATTTATTTATAATTCACTTATTAAATCTTTATTAAGCTGTTATGTACGGGAACTGTGTTTGAAACAAAGGAAGCAGGAGGGAAAGAACTCGGCTGACCAGACACACCCCTTGTCCCATAGCTCATAGTTCAGTGGGAGATGGAGAGGAACCAGAAGTATATTAAGGATCGACAGGGGAGGTAAAGTGTACTGAAAGTGACCTGTTGCACACCTAGAATAGTCTGGGAATACTTCCCAGAGGAGGTGACATCTAAGCCGAGGTCTGCAAGTAGGTACTACAGGCATACCTCAAAGATATCGTAGGTCGGGTTCCAGAGTGCTTCAATAAAGCGAATATTGCAAAAAAGCAAGTTGCGTGAATTAAGTGTGCAATAGCATTATGTCTAAAAAAACAATGTACATACCTTAATTTAAAAATACTTTATTGCTAAAAATACGGTGACCATCATCTGAGCCTTTAGTGAGTCATAATCTTTTTGCTGTTGGAGAGTCTTGCCTTGGTATTTATTGAAGGCTGCTGACTGATCAGGGTGGTGGTTACTGGAGGCTGCGGTGGCTACAGCAATTATTTAAAATAAGATAACAATGAAATTCACTCCATTGATTGACTTTCTTTCATGAGAATGATTCTCTGTGGCATGTTGTTTGGTAGCATTTTGCCCACAGCGGAACTTCTTTCAAAATTGGAATCAGTCCACCAAAACCCTGTCACTACTTTTCCAACTAAGTTTACATAATATTCTAAATCCTTTGTTACAATCTTTTTAAAAAAGATTTCACTTATTTATTCATTTTTAGAGAGAGGGGAAGGGAAGGAGAAAGAGGGAGAGAAACATCAATGTGTGGTTGCCTCTTGCGTGCCTCCTACTGAGGACCTGGCCCACAACCCAGGCATGTGCCCTGACTGGGAATTGAACCAGTAACTCTTGGGTTCATAGGCCTGTGCTCAATCCACTGAGCTACACCAGCCAGGCTTTGTTACAATCTTCACAGTATCTTCAGCAGTAGATTCCACCTCAAGAAACCACTTTCTTCACTCATCCATGAGAAGCAATTCCTCATCTGTTAAAGTTTTATCATGAGGTTACAGCAACTTAGTCATATTTTCAGGCTCCATTTGCTGCCACGTCTGTAGTTATTTCTTTCACTAGAGGCTTGAGTTCCTCAATGTCATCCATGAGGGTTGGAGTCAACTTCTTCCAAATTCCTGTTTAATGTTGATATCTTCCACTTCTTCCCAGGAATCAGGAATGTTGATAGCATCTAGAAAAGTGAATCCTTTCCAGGAGGTTTTCTATGTGCTCAATGCAGGGTTGCCACAAACCTTCAATTAAAAAACAAACAAACAAACAAAACAAAACAATGCAATATCTGCAAAGCATAATAATTGAAGCACAATAAAATGAGGTATGCCTGTGTTTTACATCAGAGGACAGGTAGTGTCCCAACCAGAGAGAAATCTTGGTTGGAAGACCTACAGAAGAAGAAAATGACCCATATGTAGGTGTGGAGTTAAGCCTGGAGAAGTAGGCAGAGACCAGAAAGTTCTTGTCGTGTGGAAATGGATTGGGATGAGGCCAAGACTAGCGGCAGGAAAACTAGTTGGAAGGTAGATGCAGTGATCCAATGAAGAGAAGATTTGCTGGAGCAGTGGAGATGTTGCCATATAGGGAACATGCCATATAGGGAAGGGCACTCAGACTCCAGAGGGACAGTGTGAGTAGCAGCAGAGTGACGTCTTATCCTCTTTCTTTAGCTGTAATTTATCTGTCTTGATCCTTAGTGTGGTTGCAGCTGTGGGATCAGGCGCCCCTTGAGGCCAGGGCAGTACAGCACCATCTCTGAAGTAGCTTTACAGTCTGGAAAGGGTACAGTGTCCCTTCCCTCAAAGGCTGCTGAGCGGGTGGTGGGCCGATGGCTCCTGGTCTGCAGTGGAACAGTGGCTGGAGCAGTTATTCTCGGTGGAGTAACTAGGTGAGTAATTTGCTCATAGTGTTTGGGTCATCAGTAGAGGCACAGGATGACCAAGGGGGGAAGGGACCCCAGGAATCATGTAGTCTGGCTCCTTGATTTTACAAACGCAGAAACTGAGGCCCAGAGAGGGAACATGTCTGATGGTTTGCCTGACATAGAACAGTTCCAGGCTTTTTTAGTAGGAGCTCTTCACAAACACTGGTTTAGATCTTAACTCTTATCTTAGCTGTACATGCTTTGTGTATATTCCCCTACAGCCAGAGTTCAAATTTGTCTCAACATTTGTTATATAGTTACTTAGAAGAAAACCCAGATAAGTTCCATATATCACAGTTCATATGCCTCTTAGGTCTCTTAAACCTCCTCCCACCCCCATATTTGCAGGGGGTTTTGTTGAAGAAACCCAAATCATTTGTCCTGCGGAGTTTCCCAGTCTGGATTGTCCTGATTGCATTCTGTGGTGGTGCTCAACAAGTGCCACTGTCCCCTGTATTTCCTGGAAACTGGTTATTGCTTAATCAGATTCTGGTTGGGGTGGTGGGGGGAGGGGGCAAAATACTTCGTAGGTAACTATAACGTTTATAGGTTTATAGGTATCTGATGTCTAGTACAGATGTCAGCCACCATTCATGATCATTGCCTACATTCATTATTTCATTAGAGTTGCAAATTTGTAACATTCTGTTAGCTCAGTTCTAAAGAGAAAGGCTTCCTCATCAATACTTAGGCTATCCTAAGATACAGTGTATACAGGAAAGGTAGGGTAAATACTTGATTCTTTCCCTTTATTTACCAATTTTAAAAATAATAAATTGGTTCCCAAGCATCCTCCAAAAGTAACCAGTAAAGTGCTTGAGTTTTTAAGTATCATTCTGAGCTCATGGGTTTAAACGTACTTGGTGCGTTTCAGTCCATCATACTTGGTGTTTTGCTCAAATTGTCCCATCTTCAGTCAGTGAAAACCTTCTCAAATTGGCTCCAGAGTTGTTCTGGACAGGACCCTAGTAACCTTTAATCCTTGCTTTCTGGATGGTAAGATATTCCAGGCTCTTGTACATTTCTTGCCTCAAGCCAAAAATAAACCTTTTACTGTAGGAATCCTAATTCATTTTCATGAAAACACTTTTAGTTTTAATGAAGTACGTATTCTCAGATTCTCTCCACATTTCCTGTGCCCTTATTTCAAAATACTGTGCGTACATAGGCTGTTATGGGAAACTGACAAATTTGAGTTTTAGTGTCTTTAAATTCATTCAAGAACCTAAAATGTTTTATACCCATATCAAATATCTTTTCCTTGTATAATGTTGTTTATGCATTTAGGGTAAACTTCTTTGGTCTAAGGGTTGATTTTGCTGTTTCTGTCAAAATTCTAAGCAGTAGGAGAAGAGGAACGGGTCAGAGAGGAAACAGTGAAATGGCGTGTTTGCCTTTGGAGGTGTGATGTTTAGATCCACTCATTGCTGTAAACCATTTATGAGTAACCCAGCACTGCGTGCACGCACGCACACACTCACTCACTCACTCTCACTCAAATTTCTTTCCTTCCCTCAGGTTGACAGAGTCTGGCCTCTCGATGGTAGACTGGCATTTAATAAAGGAGATGAAGCCACCGACCAGCCAAGAGGAGTGGGAAGCAGAATTCCAAAAATACCAGCAATTTCCAGAATTTAAAATGTAAGTATTAGAGAAAATCAGGCCAACACCCCACAAGGTCCACTCAGTCTTTTGCTTATTTAAACATGTCAGAATGATTAGATTCCATCATTTCTTGATACGTGGCTCAATTATGTTCAGTGAGCTTCCTACTTTAAACGTCCAATCCCAAGCGATCCTAAGGTCACTGATGAGGAAGAGGGCAGACCTGTCAAGCTTCAAGACTCAGAATGTCCCTGCATTCCACTGAGAAATAAAAGCCAGGTGGACGTTTCTGCTTTCTTATTTTTTGACTTCCCTTTTCACCCAGATTGAATCATGATATGACATTGGCAGAATTCAAGTTCATCTGGTACATGGAGTACTCACACCGAATGTGGGGTCGCCTGGTAGGCCTCGCATACATCCTGCCTGCTGCCTACTTTTGGAGAAAGGGCTGGCTCAGCCGCGGCATGAAAGGACGTGTTCTTGCCCTCTGTGGGTTAGTGTGCTTCCAGGTGAGATTTATTCAAGTATGGGAAACCAGAGATGCTTCCACGTTTCCTAGTTGGTATTGTTTTTAAGGAACTGATTTTATAACAGAGTAGGGGAGAATGTGGATTTTGGTGTCACATGCCTGGCTTCAAGGCCCAGCTCTACCACTTAGGAGGGCAAGTTCTAACCTAAGTAGACTCTGTTTTCCTTACCTGTAAACAGAGATGATAAGAGTGCCTGCTATTTACCTTGCATGAGTATTACATGAGATCATGCATGTAAAGTACTTAGGTTAGTGCCTAGAATCAGTAAGCGCTCAGTAAATATATTTTTGTGTCACAAGAATTAGAGTTCTTTCCCCACCATGGCTCTTCTCCTGCATTCTCATGTCCTCCCTTTTTCTAACTTGACTGTTCAGTGTGAAACTGGGATTGCTGTGGTAGAATGGTTACGGAAGCAAATGGGAAAATTCCAAAGGAGAGAAACAGTTTTTGGGGTGAGGTATCTTAAAATATAGATGGGAGATAGTCAAGTACTGTATAAATGGTGGCTCAAATCACGTAAGTTGAACTCCTATTAAGGAAAAGAACATGGAATGACTCTCGCAATTAAGGAGTTAGGTAAGGCTGAGAGCCAAGAAAAGGAATATTAGAGAAGACACATGAGTGTTTGGGTCCAAATGTACAAACCCTAAGGGAAGAGAATCAGAGCATCAGAGAAATATCAAAAATCAATCAGGAGGAAGTGAGGTGGTTAATTTAACCTATAAGTGGGGAGACGAACCAAATAGAAGGAATTAAGAAGAGAGATGGAAGAGATGTAACAGAGGCAATAGAAGCAGATAATAAGGAATTAGACATTAATAAAAGTCTGTTAGAAATTGGGGGCAGGGGGCAAAACAAAATGAAAGTTTGTTTTAGAGTGGGAAGTAAAATCCCACTGAAGACAGACCACCGGGGAGGCAGAAGATGAACGATGGCAGATAGGCTATGGAAGGAAGGCAGTCGGGGCTGGTAGATGGCACTGTCTACTCCTTCATCTTCCAGTGTAGCTTCATCTAGCAGATGAAGTCAAGATGATTAGAACTTCCAGTCATGAAGGGGGGGAATGCCCAGAAAAGTTTTCCTGAGGAGCATGTATTTAAAAGAGGTGGAGCCCTGGCCAAGGTAGCTCAGCTGGTTGGAGAGTTGCCCCATATGCCAAGGTTGTGGGTTCAGTCCCCAGTCAGGGCACAAACAAAAAGCAACCAGTGAATGCATAAATAAGTGGAATAACAAATTGAAGACTCTCTTTCTCTCTCTTCCCCCTCCCTACCTCTCCCTTCCTCTGTCTCTCCAAAATCAATAAATGAATTTAAAACAAATTTTTTTAAGCCATGGCCAGTGTGGCTCAGTTGCTTGGAGAGTCATCTCTTACTAGAAAGGTCGTGGGTTTGATTCCCAGTTGGGCCACAAACCTAGGTGGCGGGGTTTGATCTGGGAGGCAGCAAATCCATGCTTCTCTCTTACATTGATGTTTTCCTCTCTCTCTGAAAGCAATGAAACACATGTCCTCAGGTGAGGATTAAAAAATGAAAAGAAGAGGAGCAGGTGGGAAAAATCCCTCCTTTTGACAGGATCGTATTGGATTGGCAGGGTGGGGGATGAAAGGTCCATATCTCATCTGATATGATCGGAACTGAGGTTTGTTTGGGTTACTTGAAAAAGTTGGTAAAAGCAGGGATTCATAGAATAATAATACATACCTTAAACTTTTAAACATGTACTTTTACTATCTTTTTTTTAAATGAAGAGTCAAGGCCTGTTCTTTAGTCCTCTGATTGTAGCTCAACCTCAGATCTCCTGCACCCCCATAAACTATCATTTTGTTTCACATTCTCCTCAAAGCGGAGTGAGAACTTAGATACTTGTAAAGCAATCTAACTGCAGAGCCTTACAGATTTTAATGACTTTCCCCCACAAAACTTTCCTTATTTTCTGTTTCCATCTAACTTGACAGTGGTTGTCTCTAAGCTTTCTCAAGCTTTCCAAAACATCCAGTCTGGTTTTTATAGAAACAGCTCTCTTTTCTCTTATTTCACTGGTTTACATAATGTTAAGTCAGATCAAGAATAGGTAGAGTTTTGCCCACAGATAAACTTTTGTATACTTTATTTGACTCATTTCAATAAATGTTAATCTAATCAGTGGTTAAACGTTCATGGCGCTGTGTGTGGAAATGCGGAGAGGCCCGGGTTCTGGGACACGGAGGATACAGAGGGGTAAGGGCAGGAGGAGTCAGGCAGAAAGTGTGTCTGATGATTGATAACTCTCTTGTTGAAGTCAACAGACAGTTTCAGCCTTGTTTTATTTGCCTCTCATCTTTTGGGTTCTAGGGTCTGTTGGGATGGTACATGGTGAAAAGTGGATTGGAAGAAAAACCAGATTCTCATGACATCCCTCGGGTCAGTCAGTACCGCCTGGCCGCCCACCTGGGGTCCGCCCTCGTTCTTTATTGCGCCAGCCTGTGGACCTCGCTCTCCCTGCTGCTTCCTCGGCACAAGGTAAAAGCCAGTCTGTGTTCTTACCACACCTGCACGGAGGCTGACAAGGCCAGAGACACAGTGATTCTGGTTCTGATAGGAAGTTAGGTCAGAATGCACACATTCCCTTGGTGACATCTGCCAATTTGCCAGAAACTAGATATAACCAAAGTTTAGAGGAACATTGAACTTTGGGACTGCAGAGTAAAATGTGCAATTACTCTTTGGAGCTGGAGCAATTCATTCAAAGGAGAAATAGTATAGGAGCCAAGTAATTTGTCAGCGTTTCCTGTTGGGAAAGGTGAAAACATGAATTTTAGAAAAAGTAGGAAAGTGTACAAACAACAAGAGATACCCCAACCACCCTACTTCTGGCTCCCAGAGGAATGGTGGGTGGCGGGGTGAGGAAGGCCGAACGAGAGTGATTTCAGGCCCTGTGGCGGCGCAGGAGCGTGCTGGTTAGTTTGTCCTGCGGAGGGCGACCTCCCATTCATCAGGTCGAACAATACAGTAGACCTGAGTGATCTTGCCTGAGAGTATTTTCTCAGTAGGCTGATTAAAGGTTTTTCTAGTTTTTTTCTTAATAATACTTTAGATATGGAAGTCATGGTAGGCCTGAATAACCTGTTCATGGAGTGGTTTTTGATATGATAAGACTTTTTTTTAAAGATTTTATTTATTTATTTTAGAGAGGGGAAGGGAGGGAGAAAGAGAGGAACATTATCAATGAGTTGCCTCTCACACGCCCCCAACTGGGGACCCAGCTCACAACCAAAGCATGTGCCCTGACTGGGAATTGAACTGGCAACCCTTTGGTTTGTAGGTCAGCACTCAATCCACTGAGCCACACCAGCCGGGGCTGATAATAGGACTTTTAAGTAGAATTATCCAATAGGTACTTGGAGCCAGTGGCCTGGGTCCCAGTAAGGACAGGAGATGTTGACTTGACGGTCACCCCACAGGGAAGCCAGACGGAGGTGAAATGTTGGTGTGGTAGACAAGTCCGCATCTGAATAGTTCTCCCGACTTTCAGAGCCGAAATTCTGAGATGAATTGCCTGTGTCTGTAGATGTTCATCCTGACAAATCATTGCTCCTCTTCAGTTCTTGTCATCGACTTCCCCACCCACCCCACACATGTGCACACACACATTGCCACTCCACTGGAGTGGTACTCTTAAAGGTTAGCAGTGAGCTTTTACTTATCAGTTGATTGTTTCTGTCTTTTTAAAATGTATTTATGTTCCGCTAACTACAGAAAGGCCTTTGAGGTGATCATCACACATAGTGGACTGTGCTGTCCAACACAGCGGCTCACTGACTACGTGTGGCTATTTAAATTTTAATTAATTAATATTAAATAAAATTAATGTAAAAACTTGTGATTTACTTCAACTGTAAATAAAATTAACTTTTTGTTTAGTTTTCAGTTGCCCCAGCGTTGCGTTAAGTCCTCATTACCCACACGCTGGGCAGCACAGGAAGTTCTGTTTGACAGCTCTGACGTGGTGCGCTGCAGAATCTCAGTGACGGCACCCGATTCTGCACGTACTAGACTGTAAAGCATTTTTGTATCTTTATGGTTATCTGTTCATAAAGTTCTTAATAAATATTTGTTGATTCATTGGTTAGTAGCAGAAGTGGGCTATAGTGAAAATAAAAACAAATTTTGACTTTACCAAAAACACTAAATATAAGAATCTCCACGTTAGGCATTTTATGCAGTTTTGATCCTGACTATATTTGTTAAGCACTAAACATCTCACACGAACTGAAAATCCAGTCCTGTATCTTAGGCCACACCATTTCAGCCATGGTGACGCGGTTTCCCCTGAACACAGCAAACGCCAAGCCCTGGGCTGGTACTACTGCTGGACAGATGGCAGTTCCTGCCTTCACAGTGCTTACAGGATAGCAGCGGAGACAGACAGTAAATGTATTCATTTAATAAGATGTGATGCATTCGTCAGAACAGAATATCACTGGGAGTACCTAACCTAGTTTTGGGGTCAGACAAGATCTGACCTCAAATTGTGCCTTAGATTTAGCCTTGGAGATCTTTGCTGCCTCTTATAGTTTCTGAAGTACAGTTAACCTGAGCCATTTTCTTATTTAGTTGCCTGAAACCCGTCAGCTCCTGTGGTTGAGACGATTTGCTCATGGAACAACAGGCCTAGTGTTCCTTACAGCTCTCTCAGGTAGGACTCCTCAAGATGGCCTATTTTTATCTCGCTCTCAGGTAGGACCTCTTGCCTAATGCTTTTCCCTTTCTTCCTGTATCTTCGTATTTCCCTTTCACACCTGCCTCTCTCATACCCATCATCTTTACCGTTCCTTCCTCCCTTCCACCAATCCTGCTTTCTAGTCAGTTGAACAAAAATATTGAGCATCTGCCTGGATCCAAACTGTCTAGGCTCAAATCCCAGATTTACCACCTGTGAGCTCTATGACCTTGGACATGCTATGACCTTGGACTTGCTAGAGACCCTCTTTAGGCCTCAGTGGCCTCTTCTGTGAAACAGGGATGATGATCATAGTATGAGTAGAATATATGAAGTGCTTACAGTAGTGCTTAGTGTGTAGCAAAAACTGTGTGTTAGCTGTTATTATGTAGGCATTATTGTTATTATTATTATTTTCATTATTGTTATTATTACATATACCATGATGGGTCAGACAGAAGGCCTTCCTTCAAAAACCATCCAACGTAGGGAGTTCTTTGGGGCAGAGACCCACACAGATATTTCTCATTCTTTAAATCATACCTCTACCTCTCTGAATCTAAACTCTGCTACCCAGTACAATAGTCACTAGTCACATGTGACTTACTTAAACTTAAATTATTTAAAATGAAATAAAAATTAAAACTTAGTTTCTCAGTCATGCTAGCCACATTTAAAGGGCTCAGTAGCCACATGTGGCTAGCACCTGTTGTATTGAGTGGCAGATACAGAACATTTTTATCATCCCAGAAACTTCTTAAGCAGAACTGCTTTAATTATTTACTTGAGCAGTTACCTCTCGTACATGCCCCAACCTGGAACTAAACATGCAACCCAGGCATGTGCCCTGACTAGGAATTGAACTGGTGACCTTCACTATGCAGAATGACACCTAGTCAACACTGGTCAGGGCTGGACAGCACTGCTTTAATCTATAACCATCAGCCCTGGCTCGTGAGGCTGGGCACCATCCCACAAACCGAAGGTTGCAGGTTTGATTGCCAGTCGGCGCACATTGCCCCAGTTGCAGCTTCCGTCCCCAGCTGGGGCCTGTGCTAGAGGCAACTGATTGATGTTTCTGTCTCACATCGAGTTTCTCTCCCTCTCCTCCTCCCTTCCCCTCTCTCTAGAATCAATTAAAGTTGCTTTTAAATAAAACCATCAAACCAGTGACCTACGCAACCCTCACTCTTCCCCTTTTATGGTGAAAGAAAATGGATTTTGACTTGATAAATGGCATTTACAAAATAAGGAATGTGACCTAAACATCCCTGAATTCCCTGAAACATCCATAAATAATGGAATCAGAACAACAATTTGATCATAATAATAATTATTTGTAAATACCCTGTTTAAGTGTTTATCCAGGATTTAGTTTATAAGGTTTTTCATTTTTTTGTGCGTTCAATGAACATTTTTTGGCCTGAGGAAGAGGGAATAAATTACGCCGAGTCTGGGGGAAGAACACTTCCAGAACAAATCGGTGGTTCTCAGTGGAGGAATCACTAAGGGAGGTTTCCCAGACTAGTGTGCTTCTCTCGGAACTCCCAGCTCACTTCTCCAGGGGAGGCGTGCCGGAATCTTGGGGTGGGAGCAAGTGAGGATACAGTTGTTTTTCATTTAAGTTCTTGTGGTGATTGTGATGTATATTCCCTGTTTGAGAACCCCGACTGTAAACATTTCTGTTTGTTATTCTCTGGCACTTCCTTTTACGTAACTCTGGACAATAAACTTTTTCTGTGGCAGGACAGTATGTGGCCTCTTCTTTTTCTCATCTTAATGCATACCATTTACCTCGGCCTACAGGGGCTTTTGTAGCAGGACTGGATGCCGGGCTTGTTTACAACTCCTTCCCCAAGATGGGAGAATCCTGGATCCCAGAAGACCTCTTCACCTTCTCCCCCGTCCTGAGGAACGTTTTTGAGAATCCCACTATGGTGCAGTTTGATCACCGGGTTCTGGTAAGCCCAGCTGGTGGTTACTGGCTACTAAGCAACAGGGAGCCTCTCACAGGTTTTGGGGTGTTGGAAGCACTGATGGCAACAGTGAGGGTAGAATGGGCACTAGGTTTCTTTCTCTTTTTAGAAGAAATTGAGTACCAGCTCTCTGTCGTGATGTTTTTTTCCCACTTGCCCATACACCCTCCATTCAGATTCTAGCTTTCAGGATACTGCCAGCTTCTCAAAAGTTTGAATCTGCTTTTACCAGGTAGCAAAGGACAACCTCTCTCAATGCTGCACACATTTTAGCAGGTAGAAGGCTGAGGAGAGAAGACAGTGCAAAGACAGTGGTAGCCGAGCACATGGCTGCTGGAGCTAAACCACAACTCCAAGGGGCCAGGAGCACCAAACTTATTTTTTATTTGATTTAAGTTAATGTTTATTAAGGGCCTGCCATGGGTCGTGTTAAGACTGGCCTGGTAGCCTGGGCATGATAAATTGGAGCAAGGAGAGATCAGCAGCAAGGAGACCAGTGAGAAGCAATATTGCCATCGCAGTAACGCAAGTGAGAGTGAGGGGGTTCAAGGTGGGAGTGGGTTTAAGAAGAATGATGAATCTGAGAGAGTGGTAAGGAATAGGGGATTGGCTGTAGAAAGGAAGGTGAGGAAAGATACAGGGAGATCCCGAAGTTCCTTCTCGGGCGTGCTTCAGACATGACCAACAAGAATGGGACTGCTGGAGTGCGTGCTGAACTAGACGTGGGAGGATGTCGTCGGGGTGGGTGTATTGAATGTGAGAGGACAGAGGACACCAAACAGAGGGGCCCGGAGGACTCAGACGTCCGCAGGTGATGCTGGGGCTGCACCCGTTACCGGGCGGTGGGCTCAGTCCCCACCGCCGCACACTTTAGAATTAGCAAAGTCTGGTTGAAATTGTCACGGACAGCTCTGAAGAGGAAAAGAAGTGAAATAGATGTGCAAATATGACAGAAAAACATTCTCCTTGATATCAGAGAAGGGGCATGGAGACCTTATTGTCAGTCCCAGACCCTCGTTCATGAGGGACGAGAATGAAAACGAGACTTTGAATTTTTTTAGCACTAGCTGGCAACACTATCACCTCCTCTGCTCACAGCCCAGGAAAATAATATAACCCCTGAGGGCTGGGGTTATCCCTGCTGTAACAATAGAGGATTAGAATAGAGGGGAAAGGGTGCAAAGAATGATTTGAAATGTTAGAGCCATGCCTGGGGGACACCTGCAGTGGAAGGTGGATGAGATCAGTGGGAGTGTGGTGATAGGCACAGAAACTTCGGGAGGCGCCCCAGGGAACACCGACATTTAAGTGGCAAGCAGAAGAGGAGCAGGAAAGGGGCCGAGGGGCAGTCATCAGAGGTGGAACTGCAGGTGGTCTCTGCCTGGGACAGGGAAATGCCTAGTGGTAACTCACCGGTTCTGGAGCGGGTACGTGTGAAGTGAGTGGAAATCAAGAGGGTGGAATGCTTCTTCCTGGCGCTTGATGAGACTCTTTCCCCCTCGCAGGGAATCACTTCAGTTACTGCCGTCACAGCGCTCTACTTCCTGTCCCGGAGAATTCCCCTGCCTCGAAGGACCAAGATGGCAGCAGCGACTCTGCTGGCTTTGGCGTATACACAGGTACAAACCACTTCTTTTTGGCCTGAGGGTGTCCCCAAAACAAGGTTAAAAAGGAAAGGTAACAGGCTAGGAGAAAATATTTTCAATACTTAAAATAGACCAGAAAATTAATAACCAGAAAATAAAATAAGAGTTATCAATCACAGTTCTCACAAGAGGAATGATAAATGGCCAATAAATATGAAAAGCTGTTTAGTCTCACTTATGATCACAGAGGAGTGAATTAAAACAATGCATGTCATTTTGTGCTTGTCAGATTGGAAAATAATAAAGAAGTAAAAAGATGACCAGGTATTGGCACAGGCATAGGAAAATGGATGCTTCCTATATTTTTGGTGAAAGCGTGAGTTTGGCATTTTTCAGAGGGCGTTTAAAATGTTAAATGTGTATGTCCTTGGCCCAGCAAATTGACTTACTTATCAATGCCTGCCCTAGAGATATTCTAATGTACAAAGAGCTATGTCTATAAAGAAATTCATTATAGAATTGCTGTGATGCCCTGACTGGTGTGGCTCAGTGGATTGAGTGGCCAGCCTGTGAACAGAAGAGTCGCTGATTTGATTCCCAGGCAGGGCACATGCCTGTGTTACAGCCAGGTCCTCAGTAGGAGGTGTGCAAGAGGCAATCACACATTAATGTTTCTCTCCCTCTCTCCCTCCTTTTCCATCTCTTTAAAATAAATACATAAAATCTCTAAAAAATTAAAAGAATTGCTGTGAAAAATTGGAAACAATTTAAGTAGTTAAATAAACAACTATGGTAAATTTATACTGTGGAATACTTACAAGAGTTTAAAATAATAAGATCTCATGATCTGTATTAAGTGAAAAAAAGCAAGAGACAGAACAATGTATTTTTTAAAGCACAAAACTGTTTTTCTAAAAACATTTACACAAAAGTACAAGTGTGCAGTAGCTGGTAATAGTGACTACTTTTGGTGAGGGGAACTGGGATGGGGTAAAGGATAATTAAGGGAAATTTAATTTTTTTTGTTTTGTTAGAATTTACTTTGTTGTAAGTATACTTGTGAAATTAAAAATATATTTTTAATGTTCTGATGGAAGAATATAGAGGCTCGTGTGTCTGGTTGTTGGTGCCCGCTCATTGCAGCTCTGAATTTGTGGTTCCTCCTTTGCTCACTGCTGTCTTTCCTCCGTAACAGGTGGGCTTGGGCATCAGCACGCTGCTGATGTACGTGCCGACTCCTCTGGCCGCCACTCACCAGTCAGGCTCCTTGGCTCTGCTCAGTGTTGCCCTTTGGCTCATGAACGAACTCCGAAGAGTCCCAAAATAATTCTAAGAGGAGCAGCTGCACAGGACTGAAACTGTGCTCTTGAAAGCTCATGAGAGAGCACGGGAACCTGGGTTTTGCTAAGAGGGATGACCTTGGCTTATCAAGTGGTTTCCAAATTTGTTAAGTATTAAAAATGTTTTTGTTGGCCCTGAATCAAGGCCAGCAGTTTGCTGAAGCTGCTGGTTTCAAGCAGGAGCTTAAAGCATTGTCCTTCTGTGGTCTGTTGGCCATTTCAGAACTTAGGAAATGTAATGGTCAATTCATTAGAAAGAAACATCTGGAAAAAGGAAAAAAAAAGTTTTTGCCCGTTTTTGAAATAGTCACTGGATGGAGAATGTCATTAGGTATGGTTACACTAAAGGTTCCTTTTTAAATCTGTTACTTTTAACGTTGAAAATTGGGTTTAGTGTAGAAGAAATATTTGCTGCTTCCTGGTAGATTTCTGTCTCAGGTTTGGAATGTTGGCAAGCCCTGGGTTCTACATGCGTCATCTCCCTCAGCCTCCTGAGTCCTGCATTCTGCCTACATAGAAGTGCTTTACGATCTTCACTTCTACCCAGTGAAAATTCAAAGGGAGAGATCTGCACCCCTGGAAGTAGCCAGATACCCTTTGACAAGCTTCATATCTATGTGCAGCAGAATGGTGTGGAGGTACTTAGGGAACAGGAGATAGTCACTAGTAACCCCCTCGGCTTCATCAAGCTCAAACGTGCATAGTGCCGTTGTGTTGCTAGCTCAGGTGAATGGATTAGATTGTGTAAATCAGTTCCTGAAAGGGTTTCCTCATGGACGAAAAAAAATGTGGCCTTAATGGGGGACATGCACAATTTAAACAAATGCTGACTAATGAATTGCTGTGATTTTGGTCTCTATTAATATTTCACAGGGCTCTCTGTCCTGTTCAACCTTATTTTTTAAATCAGTGTCTGGATGAAGGCCTTAGATTTGAGTGTGGAGCAACCTAACATTGCTAATGTAATAGATGACAGTCACAGCTCAAAGCTTCCAAGAGTGACATGATAAAGTTGAAATTAATTATAAATATAATACCCTCATTGCAATTAAATAGGTTGTGTAGGTATGGGGTGGAGAAACCTAGCTTCATTATGATTTCACATTGAAAAGACGGGGATTTTATTTGGCCACATACTCAGCACGAACCAACAATGTGATGACTCCAATAAAAATTAGTGCTGGTTTAGATTTTGTCAATATAAATGTCATAGCTGTAGACATTTATATTGATAAGATCTTCTATATTCTGACTGAGGTCAGAATACCTCAATGCAAGGGCCGCACTTCACTAGGGGTACCAAATTTAAGGACATTGACCACGAAGTATGTATCAAGAGGACGGGGCCAGGTTGGTGAGGAGTCCAGAACCCATACCACTGGAAACACTTGAAGGAACTCTGGGTATTTGACTGGAGGATAAAGAATATCTGGAGAGAACCAAAGTTCTGTCCTTGACAAGTTGAAGCCTTCTCATGCAGAAGCAACGAGCTCCCTTTGTGCTGCAAAACTGGAGCCGTGGGGGGAAATTGCAAAAAGCTAGTTTTTAGTTTTGTAGAAGGCAAAAGAAAGTTGGACCAAATCCAATGCCCACTAAGGCCAGTCTGGCTGAAACAGTGGCGGACTGTTGAGCAAGTACCCCAGCTAACAGGTTAAACCACTGCTGAGCTCTGCCCTGTTGCTGCTATGTATGTCCAGGGTCGTCAGATCTGATTTTTTAAAGAAGCCAAACATCTAGATTTTTGTGTGAAAACTCTCAATTAAGTGCTGGCAACTAATTTCAAATTCTTTAGAACATTATGCAGGTGGAACACATTTGGGAGCCATATATAACCTAAGTTTTGCCCATATACAGTCTCTGCACTAGATGGTCTCGGTTTCCTTTCAACTTCAATATTCTGAGAGTTTCAGTGACCTCAGTATACCATTCTTAAGTGGTTCTTAGTAAGACATAAATGGACAGTTTGTCTTCGATTTTTAGAAGATCTCAGACCCTGGGACTTAATGGCCAGCCCAACTTCTCTCACATTAGAATCTTTAAAAATTCTACAGCCCAGGCCACCCAAGACCAAATCAAATTATAATCTCTGGATGCAGTAATAGGCATATTTTTAAGGTCCACAAATGATTCCAATTACAGACAAGTTTGGGAACCACAGGCCTGGGCTCTAATAACCTAATTACCTTAGAAAGTTCTGACCACTTATTCCCATTCCCTCTGAATCTCCATCCCCACTATATCTCATTAAATCTGCTTTGTTGATCCTGTTAATGGGATATTACCTCTTCTAGACATTCTTTTGTAAGGGGAACTTTGGTCACCAGGGTAGGTTCCCATACTGTTACCTCCTCATCCCCAAACTAAGGGTGTCCTTAGTTGAGAAGTCAGCAGAGGGCAGTACAATCCAAGCCAAAGAACCATGTGCTAATGCTTCTACAGTTCCCTCCAACAAAGTAGCAACAAATGAGTAAGGTCAAGTTTCAGATGTTTTACTTCATTTTTATTTTATTAAAGATGATAAGCTTAGAAAAACAGATCAGGTTACATTTAGCAATGTAACTGCATTCAATGCCTATCCACCAGCTCCTAGTGCGTGGAGATTATCTGAAATGTTTTTTTGTTTGCATTATTCCCAGCATCAGACACATCAGAAACATGCAGAATGAGTGTAAGATGATTACAGATACCACAGACAGCGCTTTCAAAATGTCATTACATACCTAGAAGATTAAATGAATTTCTCATAATATTTTCAAAGGTCTCTCAACAATTCTGTCAATTGTTTTTAAAACATCAAAGGCAATTAAAACACCTGCCTTTCTTAATCGACCTGGAATAGTTTTGTCTTTAACGTACAGTGACAAATGATGCACACGTGGCAAGGGGAACAATTTGCTACCGTTGCAAAGACATCAGTGATGATCACGATACTAGGATAACCTGTGTACCTGCAGCAGTCCTTCTGGTCCTTCTGGTGGGTTATATATTAGCATGTGTAATGCATATACCCACGGCCTGGCGTAAGGGCGAGTGCTTCCCTCTCTGACATGCCTTACGTATTTTGCTCAACGATTTAACAGTATTTATCAGTGAGAATTACAAGACCTGTTCATCAAAATTATTAATCTGTAGCTTTAGAACAACTTAACAGTCTTGAAGTAACCCTAAAAGTGATGCAATACAGGCAGCCTTTGGTTTTATAAAGCAAGAAGGGAGTGTCTATTGTGGATCATACAGAAAAGATGCCCTTCAACACTGCAGTCCATCGCTCATGGCAGAAACAATGAAGGACACAAGGCATACACTACATGGCATCAACTAAAGAGGAATCGTACGGTAAAAATGTCAAACACAACATAATAATAGAAATACCAGAGAGCAAAGTATTTGGGATCCTTGCGGAGAAAGACTTACATGGAGCTAATAAAAGGCAGAGCCTTCAGCACCGGTAGTCATAACAGGCCATACTCTGGCAAGTGCTCTGCAGGAAGGGCTGCTTAGGAACGCATCAGGGCGAGCCCGAAGTGCAGTGGGGCAGCGTGGAGGAGTGGGGCAGGCCGCCAGAGGTGCGAGTGGCTGCACGGCTTACAAAGAGGCTCAGATGCAGACCTGTCTTCAGGCTTGCCTGAGTCATACATGCATGGCTATAAACATCCTGTGATTCATAACTGTGTTTCAACTTTGGTTTTTTTAAAAAATGGCAAGCAATGATTGAATTTTAAAAGTAGAAAGCCCTTATAGTATGAGTAATAATTTGATTTTACAAATAAAAGGATCTCCTTATTGCTCAGACTTCCAGAGAAACAAAATAGTCAACAGATGTGTTTCTCCTGTCCTTCCAATAAAAGTCCTGAGAAATAATATTAGAGCAAAGGAAGCACTTGGGTAACACTACAAAGGAAGTCTATTACAATATTTTTTAAAGTCCTCATTTTTTAACAAATATGATTTGTAACACCAACGAAATCCTCACCAGTCTGAGAGAGCATATGGCCCTGTAGCAGGACTCTGAAGCCGGCCTAGCTGAAAAGACTGGGGAGAATTTGAAACATCCACTGCTACTTTTACCTCAATTCCTGATCCCAACTGAAGTGACATCACACACCAACAAACACACAGCAAAAAGAGAAATTAGATACCAGTTCTGAATTAACTTGAGAAGAAGTTTAGTTTAAAGACAGCAAAGAGAAACAGCACTGTTTCTAGAAGGGAGTCTGGACACTGCCCAAGAATTACAACCAAGGTCCTTAATGAGGTAGATCTAATAGGCAATTTACCTTAAATAATCTGGATTGTAACCATCACGTGAACTGCTTGGATGCTGTGCTTATGGAAATTGTATAAAATTAAGCAAATTGTGTAAAAGACATTTAAAGTTTTGAAGTATTAAATACAGAAGCTAGAATAGATGTAGTAAAGACTTGGTACTGCTTCTGGCAAAGTCATATTTATTCCTAAATACGAGCAAATCAATCACAAATGAATATCAGAAGCAGTTACAAAGACTGGGTATGATTAGTTGCAGCCAGCTAATTATACAGAGTTGATTCTATCAAAATACAGTTTGTGGGAAGATCTGTCCATGAGCATTTCATGGCAGCTGTCACTACTGCTGGTGTAGCAACAGCACATGTTGCTACTGCTCTGGGACTCACTTTCAAGGGACCTCTAAAGTTCCTTTTAAAATCTCATGTCTGAAATGCATGTATAACAATCGCTATTGGAGATGCCCTTCCCATCAGGGAATGTCAGGGCTCATGGGTAAAGTAGAAGATGACCGTGGCTCTTGGACAGCCTGGTCTTCTAAACCGAAGACCAAAATCTTCTTCCTGAAACCATATCCCTTTTCTAGCTTCTCTCCTGCTTTTAGTGCCTTAGGTCAATGGGTCTCCCTTTAGAATTAACCTCAGCTAGAAACAGCCTAAGTGCCCATCAGTAAATGAGTGAATCAAGAAACTGGTACATTTATGCAATGGAATACTATGCAGCAGAAAGAAGGAATTCCTACCCCTTGTTACAGCATGGATGGAACTGGAGAGTATCATGCTAAGTGAAATAAGCCAGTCAGTGAAAGACAAATACCATATGATCTCACCTATTAGAGGAATCTAATGAACAAAATAAACGAACAATATAGAACCACATGCATGGAAACATGGAATAGACTGACAACGACCAGAGGGGAGGTGGGAGGGGATAATGTGTAAAGAAGGGAAAAGGACTAGTCAAATACCATGTATGAATGACCCATGGACATGGACAACAGTGTAGGAATTGACTGACAGTGGGGGCTAAGATGGGCAGAGGAGGGCAAAGGGGGAAAATTGGGATAACTGTAATAGAATAACAATTTTCAAAATGTTGGGGAAAAAAAGAACTTCAGATCGTCTTGTCTAGCCACCCTGTTTTATAGATGAAAAATGAACCAGAGTGGGCAAGTGACTTGCCTGGAGAACCAGAGCTAGTTAATGGCAAAACCAGGACTAGAACCCAAGTCTGCTGTGCATGAAGTCTGATGTTCCTTCCCCTAAATCGTACCACCCACCCGTCTCACTCCTGACAAAAAACAAAACACACAACTGTGAGAACAGGGATGGAGGGGCATCTATTTAGGTAATACCAGTCAGAAGTGTAAGTTATTTTATTTCAAAAACGTAAATATGGATGTGAAAATGTTAATGCCTAAAAAACTAGCTTAGCAATGGGTGGCAGATTCCAACCACCTTTTAATAAGCACTGCCTTTGGAGTTAAAGGAAGCTCTTAGGTTGTGGAGGGGAAAGTCAAAATACTTCAGATGACAGTAGAAGAATAAATACAAGGCTAGTGGAAAGTGATTAAAATTTCCTTGACCAAAGAAAATCAATTCAAGGAGCTAAGTAACGGAAATGGTATAATTTTGCTTAGAATTAGTTGCAACTTAAGTGAATGTAATGCCATATAAATATTACACATATTTTCCTTACGTCCTAGTGACAGGAATTTAGAGAAAAGTGAGGGGCTGTGCCATCGTGAGACTCATGAAACACTACCCTTAAAGCCACTGACTCTGGTTCTGACATCTGTGACCTGTTTCAGTAATAATGAAAGTACTAAACCAGTTCAGGTTCATTGTCACTATCATCAAAAAGTCTGGTTCGTAGGATTCAAAGGAACTGGTGGAATGTGAATTTTACAAAAACGAGGATTATATTCATAGGAGAACCACTCAAAATGCAGAAATGCAAATAGAAATATTTAAAAATCTTTAGAAAATGAGGGCTAAAAGAGTTAAAAGCAAGAAAAATTGACTCTATAAGCAAGAATATTTCATTAACAGAAAACCGTATACAGTGGCGCCTCAGTACTCATCGTGAATTCATTCCAGAACTCCTGATGAGTGCTGAAACTGACGAGTGCCGAGTAAGCGAGGAATGAGGAAACTTTTTTTTTTTTGGTCAAAAAGCAACAAGTATGGGATTTGATGAGTCCTGAAGCTGACAACTGTATATAAGTAGTTGTCCCTCACCCTCAGCAAGGAATAAATTGCTTCTGTTTCTAGCTAATGAGATTTCATTTAAGATCATTAATTGGGAGTAATGGAGAAGCACTGGAACCAATACTAAGAGCATCTATTCAGTTTGTCTGAGGGGTGTGATAAAAATTTTCCATATTTTTAAACCATGGAACTCTGAGAAATTTTACTCGTGGTAATAAAGACAAGCCTACATCCTATAATAGTAAAATACTATTCAGGATATAGCACACTAAACAAAAAATCAGACTAATCAAATTAAGAATATGAAAAACATTTGCAGTGAAAAAGTGATGATTAGAGGTATCCTGAGTCTCTCAAGTATGAAGAGAACACAGTAATATCAATCTGAAAGGTGATCATAATGATTGACACATAAGGTTCTTAGCAGAGTGTCTGGCACACAACAAGTGTTTAACGAACGGTGGCTGTGCTGTTACGACCAGGACGAAGAATGACTTCATAGGAGCTGTCAAGTTGGACTGATCACCACCTGCTGTCTGCTCCAACTTCACTTTGAGACATGAAAGGTGTAACGGTTAGCCAACCTCGAAGCTTTTGACTAGACCACTGACTAGATCTACAGTAAAAACACAAACAGTACTTGGAAATCAAGGTGAGGGGGAAAGAGTCACCCAAGTAGGCAATGGCTGGCAAAAAAAACCATTTTGATATCCTTCATAAGCAGCAGCATTCATAAGGTGAGGCTCACTCACAGTGACAAAGATAAGAAGTCAAAATCAAGGCAATTTAGAAGTCTTAAAATTTTGTGGAAATTGCTGTGATGAGTTTTAAAAAAATTTCAAAAGGGCACTATAAGACATTTTGTTAGACCCATCATTAACTAATTTGGAAACAATTCAAGATTTGTTCATTTTCACCTACCAACCGAGAGTCCGCATACTCAATTTCCTGTGTTTATTTCTAAGAGGATCTTGATTTCTTTTACTCCTTTTGCTCCCAATATGAAATTTACATTTTAAGAATTTTACTTTTTTTTCCCCTTTAAAGTCAGGGCCCATAACCCTATTTATCTAATTTTAGAAATCACAGAAGACAAAAAAAGAAAAGCAACCTCTTCCAACTCTGGGAGCATGTTCCTGGGCAGGACGCTCCAAGCTACACACAGGAAGGGGTAGAGTATAAAGAAGATTCCGTGAGGGAAGGTGGAAGTCGATGAATCAGAAATGCTCATGCAGTTTAAAGGCTAAGTGAGAAGGAGGAGCAAAGCTCCTGGAGTGTCGTGGATGGAAATGTAATTATTATGGCTTTTCCTCTCCTTGTTAATGGAAATGCTGTTTGGGACTAAGCAATCTCTTAACAAAGGTTCTGAAAGTTTCCAACTGGCTTATTAACAAATTTATCTATTTATTGCAAAGTTTAGAATTTGCTTCTTTTAAGACATTCTAAGAGTCAAATTGAAAATTTTTCTATTTCTCAGAAAGACTTAATAAATAAGAGTTTGGATTTCATTTTGCCTACTATCCTAGAATTGTTCCTTCCTTGAAAGACATCCCAAATATATCCCTTCCCAAAGTATATATTGATCTTAGCAGTGAAATAAAGAAACTCCTGAATCTTCCTGTATATGGACTCATAGAAACAGGCCTAGAGACTAGGGCTGGTGAACACACAATACAATATACAGATGATGTGCACCTGAAACCTATATAATTTTATTAACCAATATCACCCCAATAAATTCAATAAAAAATAAAAACAGGCCTAGAGGACAATGACCTGGAGCCAGACCCAGGGCTCCGGTCCCCATCAGTCTCTCCGCCCTACAAGGCTCAAAAAGAAAAATTAATGCCCAGGCTCTGAGGCACATAGACACGGAAAAATTTTCTATCCTGATCATACAAGACATCAGATAAGAGTGAGTCAAATCTTCAATGGACCATCCATTTAGAAGGGGTTCTAACCCTTTAAAATCACATACTAACATGAGCAACAGTAAGTCAAAAACCTTGGACCATGTTCAAAATGGCTTTGTCAAGGAAGCAAGAAAGTTGTGTTATTTTGGTTGCTTGGAAATTCATATCTGTTCCACTGAATTGCAAATTATCTTGGATCTCTTGTAAAGGTTGTGGATCTCCACATAAACGATATCTCTGTTACAGAGAAAGAAGGGGATGCTGCACTTGCTAGAATGTCTTCGACTTTGTATCAGATGCTCCAAGTTTGGTTTCAGCCTGGCTTCTAGTGTGCCCAATGCCAAACTTCATGCTTGAGCAACGGGAGGAAAGTCTAAATCCCAGGAACACACCAGATCTTCCAGATAAAGGAGCAGATCGATTGGACTAAGGTTGGTCATCTTTGTTAGCACCAATCTCTCATTAGTTCTTCACAGACTAAGTTACAGCTTTTCGTAGATAAGAGGACCTGGAGATTGAGAAGGAATTAAAGAAGATATTAAAATAGAAATTCCAAGGCCAAAAATCCACAAGGTCAGGCAAAGCAGCATCTGAAGCCAGTACAAGAAAGTGGTGGAATCCGATGAGCAGCAGCTTTGGGGTAGTCAAGCTTCCGTAGCCCTTGCCCAACTCATGGCTCCACCTGTACCCCCATCATGGGCACCACCTCTTCAATCCACAGAAAGTTCAATGGAGCTGAGGCTCGAGTTTGTCGATGGTGAATTCGGCGCAGCCGCAGAAGGTACAGGATGATGGCCAATAGCACCACCAGGATACAGGCAAAGAAGAGATAGTGGTTGTAGACAAAAGAGAGACGGAACCAGCTACTATGGGCCTGCCGGACGCCTTCCTGCCGTAGATCCCTAAGGAACAGTTTGAAGATGAAAAGAAATGTTAGTTTCAGAGAAAACACTTTAAGCTGATTTAAAAGGCCCAGTGATGTTAGTCCATTTATTCCATTCATGCAAACATTCTATGACACCAGCTCCATAGAGCAAGCAAAGCTGAAGCATGTCCCCAGCCCCAGGGCTGCTGTGTGATTCTTCTTGAACCCTTCTTTCCAAGCCTGAAGAGGAAGCCTCACAGACTTACACCCTCCAGAATCTGGGGACAAATCAGATGCCAAAAAACTGAACAGTTAGGCAAGGCTGGTCATCTGTCACATTAGTCTCAAGAGTGGCCCCATAACACTCTGGCCTATATACAGTTTATAAATATAGTACTAGTGAGAATAGGTGGCCCCTGAATCCAATAAAAAAACATCAGAGTATGTCTAAATCTTTAAAAAAATGTTGCTGTGCTTTTTGAGGATTTAGGTTATAGCTAAAGAAAGCTGACACCTGATCAATTCTATTGTAACCCACACAAAAATGAAGAGGCACGTAAAGCTAAGTGCAATGGTCTGCCTGTCTAGAACAGAAGCCACTCTCTGGTGGTCTAGATACCAGACCAGTGTCTGTTTGGTTTGACCTGCAGATGTTTTGTTGTGTTTTTAATGTGACTCTCCAAACAAAGACTGCAGGTGAAATATGGACTCTGGCTTTTCTTGGCAAATGAGAATGGGCAAATGCTGGGACAGCACTTCTGCGTGGCAGCTGTCAGCCCGTGGGGGCTTCTGACAGTACTGAGTGTAGTACCCGCGCCCCGCCCCCCCAAATAAGAATTCATTTTACTTTACTGGAAATAATCCAGGGGAGAGAATACCTAAAGATTATCCTAAACATCTCATGATTCTCACAGCAAGACATCAGGCTACCATCACTTGATGAAAATACCCCACTAGGAGCACCTCACATCCTTTGCCCATTTGGGCCCACAAGAAGCCCTCCAAGGCAATGACACCACCTCTGGAGGGGGGCTTCCCATCAGGAGAGATGGCTCCACACAGACAGCCTACCGCATTTCTCTAGTCAGATAGGTTTTCCAGGGTAAATTAAGAATGAATGACATTTTAGTTTATCAGTCAGTATCTTGGAAGTAGTTAGTGAGAGCTCAATCCTAAAGGTTTATTCGTTGTGGATCAACAAATAAAACTGAATTTATGAAATTTCAAAGCTAAGGAACAGACTCCAGACCCATAATGCTTAACCTTCTTTCTGTTGCAACATGCCTAGTTAGGAACAACAGTTCACCTGGTAGTAATAAAGGGAATTTTTTTTGCTTGTTTGTTTTCGGGTTATCGCTTAAGAAACCTATTCTGACACACTATCATCTTCTAAGCTCAAGATGCCAGCTTGGTCAGTCCACCTCACCTGAGTGGTAGGAATCGTGTCTTATACAGAATGGCTCCCAGTGTCCACTGAACCTCTCGGTCATACACCAGCTGGGCTGTCTGTAGGTGTGGGTAGTCATAAGGGAAGTGGAATCCTTCATGAAGAACTTGGTACATCCAAGCCGATTTAAAACACTGGTATCTATGTGACAAAAAATAAATAATTTAAAAAATTTTAAAGATTTAGAAAAAAAATTTTAATGCTTTCCTTTGCATACTCCCACTGGATGTCAAAAAATTCTCTACCGGCTTTCCCTTCCTCACCTCTAGGTGGAGGTGTCTACTTTTGAGTCTACTTTATCTTAACATTTACTACATATGGGAAGAGCACCTTTATGCAGTGATAATATTATGGCTATGTTTTCTTTTCTTTTTTTAAAAGAGATCTTATTTTGAGAGAATATGCTAGAATATCTATATATGTAATTATGAAGTCTGGGACTTTTTTTCAGGGTTTTTTTTTAATTGTTGTCTTTTAAATTAAGTACAGTTGTTTCCATTTCCACCTGCCCCCCACTCCCCTCCGCCCCAGCCACCCCCACCTCCCACCCTCAGTCCTACCACCTTTGGCTTTGTCCACGTGTCCTTTATACATGTTCCTTGATGACCATTCCCCTTTTCCCCTGTTATCCCCTCACTCGCCCCCTCCCCCTCCCCTCTGGTTACTGTCATTTTGTTCTTTATTTCAATGTTCCTGGTTATATTTGCTTGCTTATTTGTTTTGTTGATTAGGTTCCACTTATAGGTGAGATCATATGGTATGTGTCTTTCACCTACTGACTTATTTCACTTAGCATAATGCTCTCCAGTTCCATCTATGCTCTTGCAAAGGGTAGGAGCTCCTTCCTTCGTTCTGCTGCATAGAATTCCATTGTGTAAATGTACCATAGTTTTTCATCCATTCATTTACTGATGGGCACTTAGGCTGCTTCCAGCACTTGACTATTGTAAACTGTGCTGCTATGAATATTGGGGTGCACAGGTTCTCTTGAATTGGTTTTTCAGGATTCTTAGGATATAATCCCAGCAGTGGACTTGCCAGGTCAAAAGGCAGTTCCATTTTTAGTTTTCTGAGGAAATTTCATACTGTTTTCTACAGTGGCTGCACCAGTCTGCATTCCCACCAACAGTACACTAGGGTTCCCTTTTCTCCACAACCTCTTTAGCACTTGTTTGTTGATTTGGTTATGATGGCCATTCTGACCCGTGTGAAATGGTATCTCATTGTGGTTTTAATTTTCATCTCTCTGATAGCCAGTGATGCTGAGCATGCCCTCTGTATGTCCTCCTTGGAGAAGTGTCTGTTCAGGTTCTTTGCCCATTTTTTAATTGTTTTTTTTTGTCTCCCTGCAATGGAGTTGCATGAGTTCTTTATATAATTTGGAGATCAAATCCTTGTCTGAGGTATCATTTGCAAATATATTTTCCCATTCAGTTGGTTCCCTTTTCATTTTGCTGATGTTTTCTTTAGCTGTGCAGAAGCTTTTTATTTTGAGGAAGTCCCATTTGTTTATTCTTTTCTTTATGTCCCTTGTTCTAAGGGACATATCAGTGAAAATACTGCTGCGTGGAATATCTGAGATTTCCCTGCCTATGTTCTCCTTTAGGTGAAGTCTAGGATTTGTTTTAAAATAACCCAGCCATGATCAGAGGGGAGTTGTAGGTGGGAAAATAGACAAGACATGACTGGCCAGGAGTTGACAACTGTTACCAGAGAAGCTGGCTGATAGGTACACAGAAGTTCATTATTTTTATGTTTTCAAATTTTAAAACTAAAATGTTTATAAAATAGGACCAATGAACCAAACTGACAAAATACTGATACCTGTTGAAGCTGAGTGATAGCTACATGAGTGTTTATGTTATTTCTACTTTTCTGTATGTTTGATATTTTAATAAAAAGTTTTTTGTTTTCTTGTTAAAATGCCACCACTTTTGGTTTCAAGCCACTTGGGGAGAACTCTGTAACCAGTGGTTTTCTTTGGCTTCACTAAAACTGGCACATTATTTGGCCCCTATCACTTAGAAAAATCAAAGTCTGATATAATCAAATTCTCATTCCACGTGAAATCCAGTCAGTGCTGCTGCTTGTTCCCTCTGCTTATACTCCACCCACATTTTAAGGTCACGTCTGAGGGGGATAAGGAAGTAACTTACTTGAGTCGATGCTCATCTGCATGTGGTGAATAAAGGCCATTCTTGAATCTCTGCGTCAGTACTGACCAAGTCATGCCACAGTAATCCTGGGAAAACCACAGAGAAAAGGTGCAACATGAGATTAGACGCAAACTCTATAACTCCCTCCGCAGTCACAACTGTTCCATTTCTACAGTGAGCTGAGGGCTACTAGTTGACAAAGGAAAACAGAAATGGCATATTCATTCACTCAGTACTGTGTCATGTGCTGTGCAAGGCAAGTCCCAGACATCAGGCTTCTGCGAGCATTGAGCGGACTGGAAATACTGCTTTTTACTCCTAGCACCTCCAGGTCCAGCACAAAGCCAGCCTGAGCCTCTCAGGCTACAGAGATGGGTAAGTTTAGGACCAGGAATATCAACATCAAAATCCAAAGACAGCTTCACTCCACTCTACAAAGGCCCGACACGAGCAGGTGAGGCAGATGGAACAGAATGGCCCAAAACCTGGCACTGGCCTGCCTCCAAGTGGTCATTCTCACCAAAGGAAGCATTCCTCTCAGTGTGTTCGGTAAACTAGCATTTCGTGAATGTTCACTATGTGCCAGGTGCTGTTCCACATGCCGGGGATACCAGCAGTAAATACAATAAAGATTTCTGTTGAGTTTTCTCCATTTCTCGGAAGCTTATGTTCTAGTGGTGGGGGCAGAGGATAACCAAATACACACACATACACACACATGTAGTATGTGTTAAATGACCTAACTGCTCACAGAAAAATAAAGCAGGAAAGGGAAAGAGGTAAGAATGGGGAGGGCTGCAATTTTGGGTAGCATGGCCAGGGAAGGAGCCCCTGGAAAGATAAAATAAGAGTCAAAGTGACAAAAAAAAAAGTAAGGGAAGGAAATCATTTACCTGGGAAAGAGAACATATTAAGCCACTACCAACTTGGGCAAGGAATAATTTGAGCTCTTTGGTATTCAAGGGAGTAGAATTTGAAACAGTTTTAAAATGAGAGAAAGATTCAAGCCATGAACAGTCAGGGAGCCTGGGACACAGGAAAACGAAAGGGAATATGAGGGTATTCCTGGAGGCTGGAGAGGAAAAAGCAAACACAAACCCGGTTTTCCTCAATATTCCTTAGGGACTGCCTTCAGGGAACAGAGTAGTACACATACTGCAGATATTATTCTACTGGAAGTCTTCCACCAAGAGAACCCTAGAGAATTATAACAAAGCAAAGAATAAAAAATGTAAGAGAACAGATTCTTCCTGGAAGTTTCTCTGATAAAAGAACGAGATCAGAGAGATACATACAAAAGTTCAAAGTGATGAATCCAAATTGAAGGAGGATCTATAGAAAGCTAATTGAACTTTCACCTGTCCAGGTAACTAATGATTTAAGACTATAGGATGCTTAAGTCTTACAGATGTTCAAAATGAATTTTTACCTCTTCTGCATTTTAAATTTAAAAAATTCTTCCACCATCATTGCACATTTTTGCATCTTTCTAATATTCTGAGTGATCCTCTACTACTCCAACTTTTTAAACAGCTCAAACCAAGAAAATGAAAATGGATTCGCCCACGTGTGTGACATCATCTCCAAAAGCACAGTACAACTGGGGACACCAGCAAGGGGAAAAGCCCCTGCAGGTGACACTACTTGGCCACAAACATGAAACAGGACTGTTGGTAAGCTGGAGGAAAAACTACTAGCTGCCACAACAATGTTAGACCTGGGTGACACTGTGGGTGACAAGACACCCTGGAAAGCTAAGCTTAATCTACTGAAGGCAGTATAGCATAGCAGGTCCTTAAGTTCTCTAAATGCTATACTTCCTCGTCTGTAAAACATGAGCTGATACAGCTCTTGCAAAGAGTCAAGTGAAACCATGCATGCAGAGCTCTGTGCACTGTGCCTTGTTAGGCATCTCATAAATAGCCACTGATGGTATGAGTCGTCCTTTTTATTAATAATTTACCTGCGCAGCCTTGGCAAATGTTGGCCCATGGTAGCGGCCACCGATGCGCAACACATCCTCTGTACAGTAAAAAAACTCGGAGAAACCATAGAACTCGCTGTTGTTGAAGTCGATTGGAGATTGGTAGATGCCATTCAGCGAGGCCTGGCTGGTGTTGGGGCGGGCAAGCAGGGGGCTCAGCCTTGCCCCACAAGTCTCCCAGTCTCCCTTTCCGCGGACATGCAGGACCTGGTTGTTCCTCTCCACCACATCGGTGAGTCCCACAGGCAGGCAAGGATCCAGAAACGGATTGTCAGTACTCAGACCTGTCTTCTCGCCCAGCAACCTATCACGGTGTTGAGAACAAAATACATCAACTACTGTGCTCCATCTACTCTAAGAAACACCTGATGGAAGCAACCCCGTCTAAGAATGTGCTTCACAGACACCTTGTTACTGTTTTACATGACACCCCTAGAAACAAGGGTGGAGTATGACCATCTCATTAAGCAAATTCAATTTAGCAAAAAAGAAAAAGAGAGAAATATGGCAGTGATCAATTTTGTTCAACCTTTTAGTCAACGTGTATATTTCTCAGTGTAAGGTACAATTGGAGATGTGAATCAGCTATTCTGTATCAGGGGTTCATTCACACTTGCCTCTTAAAAGTGCAAAGATCTCACCCTGCTGAGTGTGGTTCTAATGTTTAAAATAACCTCTGGGAGGAGGTGAAGTGGGAGGGGCTGGGGGCATTTCCTGAGGAGGGCACCGTGGCTGTGTCACAGGCACAGGGAGGTTCATGTGCCTGGCTCTGAGGTGCGAGGGAAGGGACAGATCTGAGTGAGTCCCACCACAGCCATGACACAGCTCTGGGAGTGCAAGTCTGCACTAGCCTAGCAGCAGGACTCTCATTCCTAAAGAGACTGATGTGCAGACCTTGCCAAGAACGAAAGCTAACTGGAGGTCAAATAGCTTTGCCCACTGCAGTTAACCATGCCTCAGTTCTTAAAGAGATAGACATCGAAGAGTGGACTCCTGGGATGAGACTGCACACACGAGGACAGAGACAGAAGAGGGGATGGGAGTGTGGCAACACGACAAAATGCTGGGGCACACCAGGACCTATTTGAAGGAGGTGACAGTGGCTACAAGGAAAACTTATAAAGTCATCATTAAGAGAGAACCAGTTTTGACATCTCAGGAAGCACAGGTTTCTCTAGTAGATCAGCAACTACACAAGATGAGCAGTCACTCCTCTGAATTACGTGACTTACATTCATGGCAAGAAAATGCCGATGCCCGGGAGGAAGATGGCACAGCCTGGCAAGGTCTGACCGGGGCTGCAGAAAACAGCAGCCGGAGAAAAAAGAGCAGCAGAACGACAAAGGAAGAAAATGGAAAAGGGAACAGAGTGGCCAATGAAGAAGGAACAAAGTTGGTGTGAAACTGTCACAAAAACTGTTTGGATGTCACAGTGTTAGCAGGAGGGACTGAAGCCCCACTGCCCAAGCAACACTTGTATGGATTTGAGAGCATTTTCAAATACAAACACACGGCCCAATTTTAATGCATTTATCAATTATCCAGGATAACAGTATTCTCCCAAAATTTCTTAAACTCTTACTTACAAAAACAAAAAAGACTTATGAGACAGTATTTTTTAACATGGTCCCAACATATGATAATTGAGTTCTGTAGAGAACTGAGATATACCAGCACCCCTACCAGGGGGATATAGCAATACCTTTTCAAACTAGTATTTCTAGCTAAACAAATAGGGGTAAATAATTATAGGGTGGAAAGAACTCTACCATCTATTATGCTTTCCTTCAATATACATGATGATAAAATAATTTTAAATACTAAAAAAACCCCACGACTGTTTGTACTTTATGGTCTGCTTTATCTGACACTCAAATAAAAAAAAACCAGTGATCTGGTCCTGGCTGGTGTAGCTCAGTGGATTGAGTGCAGGCCTGTGAACCAAAGCATCGCCAGTTTGATTCCCAGTCAGGACACATGCCTGGGTTGCAGGCCATATCCCCAGTATGGGGTGTGCTAGAGGCAAGCACACATTGATGTTTCACTCCCTCTCTTCCCCATCTCCCTAAAATAAATAAATAAATAAAATCTAAAAAAAAAAAAAATCAGTGATCTGGTCCATGCTGGAGGAAAAACTGGTGATTCTGAAAGTAACGATAGAACAATTTAAAAATTAATTTTGCCCTGGCCAATTGTGGCTCAGTTGGTTGGAGCATCATCCCATAAACTGAAAGGTCACAGGTTTGATTCTAGGTCAGGGTACTTGCCTAGGTTGTAGGTTCAGTCCCCAGTCAGGATACGTACAAGGAGCAACCGCCTGATGTTTCTCTCTCACATCAATGTTCCTCTCCCATTCTCTTCCCCTCCTATCCCCTTCCTCTAAATCAATAAGCATGTCCTTGGGTCAGGATTAAAAAAAAAAGGGTAATTTTGACTACATGCTTTTTACCCTTTAAATGCACTTTGGAACATAACTCCTGCATAAAATGCAATTCTGCTCTACTAATAACTCAACAAGCCTGTCACGAGCACTTCCATGTAGAAGGAACTGCTCGAGTCTACGTTATACTGCACATTTAAAAATGACAACTAATAATCTAATTAACTAATCTCACCTTATGCTGTGATGTCTGAAGTGGGACCCAGCAAGCAGTCACCACAGTGAGCCGCTATACTTTTTTATGAATCCTCATAACAAAGATTAGAACACACTCTCATCTCAGTCAGCTAATGGAGGGTCTCTGAGAGATGCTCCCCCATTGGCAGGGCTGCTCAGGAAGAAGAAAGCAAGGATGTGCCTCAGTAGAACACGAATATTTCCAGTATCTGCAACCTGACAACATTCTATTTCAGAAGCACAGATCCCATGTCAAACGTACCTGTTTTTGTTAAGAGTTTCATTCAGCACAAGGTCTTCATAGCGCTGTCGGGCAAAGTTGCCCCCAAAACCCAGGAAGGTGGTGACGTAAACCCTATACACGTGTTCGGTGTGCTGCACATCACAACCCAGGTTGAACTCAGCCAGCAGGATCTTTGCAGCTTCTTCCTGTCACACCATGCAAAGAGAAAAAAGGGAATTTCAGTTTAGGTTGATTTCTAGAAAGCTATGACATTGCTAATATACCAGGCTTCATTCATTATGACTACTCTTTAAAATATCTTTCATCCTCATAGCATTATTTTAAACAAACACCTAAAATGACAAGACTATACAAGAAAGCACAAATCAGAAGCTGAACACCAAGGTGAAGATTAAAACACTGTTTGTAGTTTTACAGAATAAGGTAGGATCATTACAGGTGTTGCATTTTCTCACACGTGTGGTACTTTTCTCATTGCCCAGTTCGCCAAAATGGGAATGTACTGTTTTTATAATTAGAATAAAACATCTTTGATAAAAATGAACTAAAAGAATTTGGGAGATCATCATGAGATCTATTCTATGACCTTTTCTAAAACTATTCAAGAAGTCCTAATGTTCCCTGTGGCAGATCTGGAATTGGAAAAGTTCGATTTTATTGTACCTCCAATGAAAATGTTTTCTTTCTTCTTTCTCTTTCTTTCTTTCTCTCTCTCTCTCCCTCCCTCCCTCCCTCCCTCCCTCCTTCCTTCCTTCCTTCCTTCTCTCTCTCTTTCTCTCTTTCTTTTTTATTTTTAACTGGTAATGAGTAAGAGGTTTCTTTTTGGAGTGATGAAAACATTCTGGAATTCAACAATGGTGGTTGCGTAATTTTATGAATGTGCACAATTTTATGAATTGTACAAAAGTACATCAGACATTTAGGATTATTTAAGTTTTAGAAGTGCTACTGTGTGATGCCTCATTGTTTTTACCTTTTTTTTATCACACACTAAGATTCATCTTTACAATCCATTATACTGTTATATGTACAACCATTTGTTGTTAGAGTCCATTTCTGTATCAGTGCTGCTTTCTAAACCTCACACACAAAATGCCCTGTGGGACATGCAGACACATGTGCTCATCAGATATTTCAAACTCCACACACCCAAAACTGAACTCAGTGGTTGTAGGAGTTCAGCTAGAAACCAAACAGACGCCCTCACCCAAACCACCTGGACATCCTGGTTTGCTCAGCATCAAGCCTGCCCTTTCCCCCGTGGTCTGTCTCAGTGACTGGGCTCCTCCCACTGCCAGTTACTCTCTGAGCTGGACCCTCAGAATTACTGGCCAACCCCCCTGCCCTACCCATACCACCACATTACACTGGTTTTTCACTCCAAAATGTCCTGAATTTGTCCCTTTCCTTCCATTTCCACTTACATTGTCTAGTTCAGCCCCTTATTACTTCTCAACCAAGGTTCCCTGACCTATATTGCTCTAACACCAAAATTATTTTCCTAAAAAATACATTGATTGGATCACAGCCATACAATTAACATAGCCACAAAGTTCAGAGCTGGGAAGGGCCTTCAGGGCCTAATTATTTCATAGATGATGAAACTGAGGCCCATACGAATGCCCTGCTCAAAACCTTTGCTGGTTCCCCACTACCTGTAGATATGAAAGCCAAATCCCAGCATGGCACCCAAGACTCCTCACGATTTAACTTCATCTTCTCTCCCTGGCCTCACCTTTTACCACAATTGCAAATCCTGTGCTTCAACAGGCTATTCACCAGTCCCTGGATATTCTGGGTGCTTTGCTTTGTCTGTGCCTTTGTGCACTTTGTTCACTCCATACAGATGGCCTTCCTCCAACCTCCACTATGCAAAACCCTATCATCACCCAAGGCCCAGGTAAACGGGAAGTGGTGGAAGCTGGCATGACTCCTATTCAAGCCTTGCAAATGCAGTCCACCCTGCCAGTGCACACACTACCACAGCTTTATTTAGACCAGAGGTTCTCAGCCAGGGTGATTTTGTAACCCCAAGGGACATTTGGCAACATGTGGAGATACTTTTGATTGTTAAAACTGAGAGTTGGGGGTAGGCAGTGTTACTAGCATGTAGCAGAGGCCAGGGATGCTGCTAAATATCATACGAGGAACCCTGTAAGCCGAGAAACCCTGGCTTACATCATATCACAGCACTGTCATGGCTGGCCCGCTATTGCAGGTGTCTCCACTAACGGATTACAAGCTTTGGGGGCCAGTGTAATATGTCTCATTCCCGACACAGAATAGGTGCTCACAAGTGTATTTTTTCCCTCTCTATGATAAAATATCTTCCTCAAAGTGCATTCTTTACATTCTAGTCAGGTAAGGGATATTGTAAGAATGGAATACTTGGTAAGGAAAAGGGAATAAACTTAATGAACAAGTATGCATCAAGTATGCTATGCTCTAGGATTTACATGTATTACCATGTTTAAATCTCAGGCAACCCAGGGATATAGGTAGTATATTTATAATTGCTAAAATGTATTAAACATTTATTATATGCTTGGTAGTTTGCTTAGCACTTTACACACTTGGTGGTATTTCATCCTCACAACTTTGGGACATAAATACTGTTATTACTCTCTTTCTACATACAAGGAAACTGATGCTCAGAGAGATAGAATAAGCTAGCAAGGTCTGAACAAGTATTTGTCCCCAGGCAAGTTGGTCTGTATCTAAAGACAGTGCCCTTCTTTTTCAAATACTGGCATCCCTAGCGACTTTCCCCAAAGGGGGAAATACCTCTTTTGGAGGAAGGGCAGAGGTTGAGGTAGGAACTTCATAAGCAATCTGAAGAGAGGCTCCTCCCATGTCCAGTATCCCCACTGTTCTTCTGCGCCCTGTTGCCAGTTCCTGGGGAGCTCCAGCATCTGATTCTGAAATAAACAAGGGGACAGAAGGGGTCCAGTCATCTAAAACCAAGATTAGGTCAAAAAGGAAAAAAAAAAAACAAAAAACAGCAACACCTTAAAAAAATTGAAAGCAAACTGAAAGAAATGAACTGTATTAACTGTGTATTACATTGAGAATTATTTCAAGTGACTTAAAACATGGTATTTTAATAATATTCCTTGTAGAATATATTTAATGACAAAAGAAACAAGTAAATATCTTAAACCAGTCTAGTAGTCTTACTGGTAATATTATTCATATTATTGATATAATTTTAAAACCATTAAACATATATTATGGAATAAAGCAAATATTTATGTTAACATCTTTAGGAACAAATATTCAGCATAAGAGAAAAAGGATAAAAGTATAAAATCAAAGAAATTAAATAATAACTTTATAACCTTAAATATGAGTTGGAGATGTCACTCTGAACTCATGGTTTATTTTTTTACTTTCTAAAAAATACATATTTCCTCGGACTAGAAATGATAATCCAGGAGAAATGAGCATCCCTGGTATTTAGACCACAGCCTCTAGATACCATTTTCCACTAAAACAAACCAGGGCTCCTTTAAAAAAAAAAGCCTGATAACCAGGTCTAGGGTAAACGAGGTAAGCATGGAATCCCCTGGTGTGCCGACAGCACAGGAAATACAAAACTACTGAGATCTTGTTAAAAAGAGCGAACTTAAATGTGCTCCTACTCATCAATGATGGTGTATTTTGGGTACCAAAGCACCAAAAAAATAGTGACATGGTGGACAGTAATACATCAACTACTTTAAAAATCTGTAAGTTCATAATAATACTGAAAATAAACTTCACTGGTTACCTTTGGAAGCTGCTGGGATATTGACTCATTATTTTGATAAATAAAGGGAAAGAATCAAAGATTTATTCTGTCTTTCCCATAAAGAAAGAATTTCTCAGAATTTGGTATTTCAAGATAACCAAATAGTTGATGAAGAAGATTTCATTTTATAAAAACTCCAGCCCTGGCTGGTGTGGCTCAGTGGATTGGGTGCCATCCTGTGAAACAGGGTCATGGGTTCAATTCCCAGTAGGAGCATAGGCCTGGGTTGCGGGCTAGGTTCCCCAGTTGGAGGCATGAGAGAGGCAACCAATAGATGTATCTCTCACACATAATGTTTCTTTCCCTCTCTTCTCCCTCTCTACCCCTCTCTCAAAACATAAATAAATAAAATCTTTCTTAAAAATTCCAGCTGTTAAATGCAGAAGGAATGACAGAATTAGCAAAATCATCATTTTGCAACTTCCAGTAAAAAAACAGATCCAAGCAACAGATCATAATTGGCTACTAAACCATTAGGTGAAAAGTGAATGGGGAATTTTTAGAATAGATTAGATCAGGCTGACAATACCTGAACCATGAATACCTGATCAGTCTTAACATGGCTACAAGTGAGACAACCATACGTCACAGCCAGACTCTTGATGTGATGGAGGAAGAAACACTTAGCACCACCTATGCTTTATTCTTGGGAAAAGAATTGAATTGGAGTCTAATAAAGCCTCTGTATCTCATCTCCAGTTTGTAGGACGTTGAAGGCCCCAAAAAGATGCGGTTGGCCAAATTTAGAACATGGCACATTCATTCATTCTATCAAGCAACTAGTTTTTGGGTTTTTTTTTTTAAATGAATGATTTGGAAAAAAGAGATAGGGAGAAAGTCAACTGTTATGAATTAGAAGAGACATATCAATCAAATGAAATTTGTGATCTTTGTTCAGGTTCTGATTTAAGAAGACAGATACAAATAAATATTCTTGAGACAATCAGGGAAGTCTCTACTTGGGTACCAGATGGGTATTACCTATTAGGAATTGTTAGTTTTGTTAAATATAAAAATGGCACAGTGGGTACGTGTTTGTTTTGAAACTCCTTATCTGTTAGAGATATATACAAAAGTATGTGAAGGTAAAATATGTCTGGAGTTCGCTTTTTAAAATCCTATAGGAGAGCTCTTCTCAGCTGGTGCTGAGCTATGGTCATCTCTCAGAACAAATGGCGTAAGCTCCACAAGACAGGCAAGAGAAAGCCCAGCCATAAGCGAACACAAAAGCTGGGACGCCCCCCCCAATGCATACACACAGTCTGCCTGTGTGCCAGGCCCTATGCCGGACGTGGGCAACTAACTGCTCCTGGGGCTCAGAGCGTTGTACACACAGAACAAGGAGATTGATGCTGTCTGCAGTGCATCCAACAATGATCCTCCCTAAGAGCCCGGTAAAGAACAGCATTGTTGGAAAAATACAATAAAAATAAATTAAAAAAAAAAAAGAACTGCACCGTGTCCACTGACAGCACACGACACCCACTGAAGTGATCTGAGCCCTGCTGGGCACTGCCTCTGGGCCACAAGAAGTGGCCCAAGCTGACTCCTGAGGAGGAAGACATTTTAAACAAAAACGAATAAAGAAAATTCAGAAGAAGTGCAATGAAAGGAAAAAGAATACCAAAATCAGGAGTCTTCTAAAGGGGTAATCCCCGAGGGGCAAGCTTCCCGCATGCATCCTCCATGGCCAGGCTGGTGTGGCCGGTGTGGCCGAGCAGGTGGCTGTGCGCTGGAGGGGAGGGAGCTGGGGTTCTGAGGGAGATCAAGGCCCAGAAAGGCAAACATATGCTCCTCCCTCCCATCTTAGCTCATGTAATAAAGGTGTTTGTTGTCCTAAAAAAAAAGCCAATAGGAAAAAAATCCTTGTGTGGAGGGAGTGTAGGGACTGAAAAATGGCAAAATGTTAGTAAGTGTTGAGTCTGGGTAACAGATTCCTAGAGGTTCATTTTATTATTTGCTCTACTTTTGTGATAGTTTGAAACTTTCCATACTAAAAAGTGAAAAATAAATGAAAGACGTCAGGCTAGAAAACGAAGCAAGTTAAGTTTTAAAAAAGAACAAAATAAAATGCTACTAATAGGGTATGACTTAACCTTTCAGCCCTTAATTAAAGAACTTCATAAGAAGACCACATCACTCACCATCCTCATGGTCAAATCTTCCCAAAACAAAGTTGATTCCAATCCACGCATAAACCCCTAAGAGAGAAATACATGAGTAAAAGCCCTCACTTAGTTCTCTGCTGCCACACCACATGCACACCTCTCTCCACAGGACTGCTCTTATCCTCCTTTTGCTTGGAAAAGGTGCTAACAGTTTTTTACTCCACACACTCAGCATATGAATTTAAATTTTTTATCTTGTGATGTTTTTCCTTTTAAAACCATCTGCCTTTCTAAATTTCCTACAATGAGTAGGAATTACTATGTAGAAACAAATGTTAAATGAGGTAAATCTTGGAGTTCTCGTCCTGGATGAGACAGAGTAAACACATCCTACCCAGCCTCTCCACTGAATGTAAGTGTAAGTGTAAAGGCACAGCTTTCTGAGGACTCGGAGAGTGAGTGATAGTAGACACGCTGAGACAGACATCAGAATTTAAAGGACCACAAAACCGGTAATGAGCTTTCCATTTTTTCCCCACTTATATTGCCTGGCCTGGACTCTAAAGCAGCTTGATTGGAACAAAAGTACACACGGGGTGTAGATAGAAGGAACTTGCTTGCCTTCTGTTCCAAGCAGCCGGAAAGAGGACTCCAAAGGTTTAGTGAGAGTGGGGAAAATCCCCTACTCTTTTTTCTTTGTTTTGTTCTCTCCTACCTGGTAGTCCTGCAGCAGCAGAAGTGAACACTGGGCAAGTACCTAAAACTCGGAGGGATGCGAATCCTCCTCTCTGACCAGTGGAGCTGTGCCTCAAGGGTTGCAGCGAACCCCTAATGCTTAATTTTTCTCCCCTCTGTCCTCTCCCACTTGGCCCTGGATGCAGACACAATCACACCAATGCATGACAGAGGGCACAAATTAAAACTCTAGCTCTCTGACTTTTATGGAAGACCATAAAAGTAAGCCCTGGGGAACCAGAGAGTGTCGGGAGATTGTGGAGAGAAGGGAATAAAGTGGTGTATGAACTCCTGGGCTCATCTCCAAGCGACAGATGCATGGATCTGACTGTAAGCAATATATCGAAGATTTTGAGAGCTGAGGTAGGGGCCAGACAACCAATTTGTATGGGCTATTGGCCAATGGCTGGGGCACGCAGGGGACAAATACAAATAGCAGTGCCATGGCTTTGAAAAAATGAATGAATAGGGATTTCCACCCAAGATGGAGGCATAGGTGGATGCATTGTGCCTCCTCACACACCCAAGATAGGGACAACAACAATTTAGAAACAGAATAACAACCAGAACTGGCAGAAAATTGATCTGAATGGAAGTTGGACAACCAAGAAGTTGAAATTGACCCGTTCATCCAGACCGGTAGGAGGGGCGGAGTTGGGCAGCTGGAGTGGGGCACAGCACGGAGAGCACAAAGTGCGGGGACTGGCACATAAGGCATCCAAGGCACGCAAGACTGCAGTGGGTGGATCCTGAGTGCGCAACCAACAGCTGGCAGACCCCGGCCAGGGGTGGCAACTGGCAGTCCCAGTGAGGCCGCGATTTCGAAGCAAAGCACTGTGCACAACCCAGGATCCCAATGCTGGGAAATAGAGCCTCGGGACACTGATTGAGGACACCTGTGGGAGTTGAGGCACACGGAGAGACACCCAGCCTCACAAGAGAGGTTCCTAGAGGGTCTCACAGTGTGCACAAGCCCACCCACATGGGAATTGGCACCAGAGGGGACCAGTTTGCTTGGGGGAAGCAGCAGAAGGGACTGAGGTCCCACGGAGAACAGAGCAAGCGCCATTGTTCCCTCTCGACCCCGCCCCCACATACAACATCACAACCCAGCGACTGGGGTGCCCAGCCCTGGTTAACACCTAAGGCTCCGCCCCTCACCATAACAGGTGCAACCAGACCAAAAAAAAAAAAAAAAGAGAGAGAGAGAGAGATGGCTCAAACAGAAGACCAAATAAAAGCCCCAAAACCCATCCTTTTAAGCGACCGAGAGATAGCCAACCTATCAGATGCATGGTTCAAAACACTGGTGATCAGGAATCTCACAGAATTGGTTGATTTTGGTCACAAATTAGATGAACAAATACAGGCTACAATAAGTGAAATGAATAAAAATACAAAGGGAACCAATAGTGATGGAGAGAAAGCTGGGTCTCACATCAATGGAGTGGACCAAAAGGAAGAAAGATACAACCACACAGAAAAGAATGAACAAATAAGAATTCAAAAAAATGAGGAGAGGCTTAGGAACCCCCAGGACATCTTTAAACATTCCAACATCTGAATTATAGAGGTACCAGAAGGAGAAGAGGAAGAGCAACATATGGAAAAGTTATTTGAACAAATAATAAAGGAGAACTTCCCCAATCTGGTAAAGGAAATGGACTTTCAGGAAGTCCAGAAAGCTCAGAGAGTCCCAAAGAAGTTGGACCCAAGGAGGAATACACCAAGGCACATAATAATTACATAAACCAAGATAAAAATGAAGGAGAGAATCCTAGAAGCAGCAAGAGATAAGGAAGCAGTTACCTACAAAGGAGTTCCCATCAGACTGTCAGCTGATTTCTCAAAAGAGACCTTATAAGCCAGAAGGGGCTAGAAAGAAGTATTCCAAGTCCTGAAAGGCAAGGAAAGACCTAAATCCAAGATTGCTCTATCCAGCAAAGCTTTCATTTAGAATGGAAGGGCAGATAAAGTACTTCTCAGATAAGGTCAAGTTAAAGGAGTTTATCATCACCAAGCCCTTATTATATGAAATGTTAAAGGGACTTATCTAAGAAAAAGAAGATTAAAAAAAACATGTATAGTAAAAGGACAGCAAACTCACAATTATTAACAACCACACCTAAAACAAAACCAAAAAAAAAACTAAGCAAACAACTAGAACAGGAACAGAACCACAGAAATGGAGATCACATGGAGGGTTAGCAACAAGGGAGTGGGAGAAGGAGAGAGGGGGAAAAGGTATGGAGAATAAGTATCATAGATGGCAGGTAGAAAATAGATAGGGGGAGGGCAAGAATAGTATGGGAAATGTAGAAGCCAAAGAAATTATGACACATGGACATGAACTAAAGGAGGGGAATGTGGGTGGGAGAGGGTGTGCAGGGTGGAGGGGAGTAAAGGGGGGAAATCAGACAACTATAATAGCATAATCAATAAAATATATTAAAAAAAAGAAAAAAAAAGAAAAAATGAATGAATAGAATCACAGCCCGTAGAAGGCAGGACAGAACTTGAGGCCTGAACCTAGCCAGGTCAACTGTCTGCTCAAACAAACAAACAAACAGACAGACAAACATCAATATTCTTCTTATGATTGAAACAAGACACAAAGCCTCATAATGTAATATTCAAAATGTCCAGATTGCCATATAAAATTACTTGGTGTACAAAGAACTAGGAAAATCTCAACCCATAAGGGAAAAGATGGTCAAAAGATGTTGACCCTGGTGTGACAATGATGTCAGAATTTTTAGGCAAAGATATTAAAGCAGCTACAATAACCAAGAAATAAAAGCAGTCTTATAGTGAATGGAAAGACAGAAAGTCTCAATAAAAAAATTGAAAATAAAAAGAATTAAATGAAAATTTGGGGACTGAAAAATGCAATGTTAAAATTGAAAAAAGGCAAATCTTTTCCTCTGTGTAGATGGCAACTAGAAGACATAAAAGATCCTCTTTTCCAAGAAATGAAAACATAATTCATCACGCAGGCCACGTTTGGGCTACCTGAGGACACTCACTCTCCTCCACCCCAAAACTACAAACCCAACAGTGTGGGGTTTCAGGGAGGCACCAATACTAGAAAGTGTGATAATGGGAGAGCCCAACAGAAGGAACTCATCCTGCCTGATCAGTCCCTGGCATTAAAGTTTCTCCTTGCTGTAATTATTTGCTTTACACTTGAATTTGACAAACTCAGTACAATTCCTGAATGTATGTATGTTTTCAAAACTATCATTAGCTAACCAAAGATCCATTTGGAATCACCATTAAATACTAATATATTCTTAGAAACACAGTCCTTAGCATAAAGTTAAAAACATAAATTTATGTCTTCTAGAAGCAGCATTCTAAAGCAGATACCAATGCATAATATGCAAATAATCAAATAAACTAGACAGCAGAATCAAGAAAATTATTGTGAGAAAACCAAAAATCAGATCTACAAAGTAATCTAGACACCCGTTGGAGAGACTGTGCCAGGACTGGCTGGGAGGGGAACCAGTGCGCCCCCGCAAGGCCCAGTACCTTCCTGCTTCCCAGAGATCACTTCGGCCTGAGACTGTGAAAAGAGGAAGTCAAACTCCAGTGGTAAATCTTTCACTAGATCAGACAAGATAGCCAACTGCTTCCTGCAAGAAAGAACCAAAAGTTAATTGTTAAATTCTCTCCTCAACTTGACCTTCTACTTAGCCTTGTTATATGACCTCACTGTTCACCTACCTCATCCCTTGTCAAGCCCTGCTTTTCTTCCTCCTTTCATTTCAAAGGTTTAAACTGCCTTCAAAATATAGCCTCCTACTTAAAAGGCAATATGGTAATAGTAATACTTTTCCTTTCTATGATGTTACCATTCAAATGGTGTTAAAAGACAAGACTATGGTTCTGTGCCTCTCACAGGCTGCATAAGCCACAGGAAGTTGAAGCACAGTTTCGCAACCTATTAAAATAGGTTTATTACATTTTTCCTAACTGCTGTGAAAGTAAGCTGCTAAATTGAGGAGCACAATCCTCAGAAACAACGCCTCACTCCACCACACAAGAAGCGCTGTCAGGTTCACAGGTGTTTCATAATCCTTTACGTAAGCTTACAGTAAACTTTTACATCTCCTTTTCCATATTCCACAGTTAAATTTTCTCATAAAAATCTTATCATTTGAAAATCCCAGATCCGGATCAAAATCTAAAGGTCAGAACAATTTGGGAATAACGTCGGAAGCTTAGTGTCTACAGGGTTGTTTCTTCCTCTAAAGTTTTATGTTGTCAGTATTATCAGGCAAAGAAAAGCAAAGAAACAAAGCTAGAAGTAATACGATGAATCTAGAGAAAATGTTGGTTAAAAACAAGACCAATGAGCTTGGATTTTTAACATTACTGATCACAAAAATACTTGACCAGTTCAGACAGTTGTCAGCGTGACTCAGTGAGGAAGGCAGCTGGCACTTCAAAGTGAAGAATTACATTTAATGAAATAACTTCCAATTTAATGTCACGTACAGTCTGTAAAAAAGTTCATTGTTATACATGTAGAATTCATGCAGTATGAGTTTCATGTGGGGAACAGGAGCAGCTATTTTTCCCTCCCTAGTGGATCTGCTTAACTTCCCAAACAAGAGGGCTTTGCTGGTTTTAGTTACAATATGGAAGAATGGGCATCGTCATACACTGCTGTTTGGAATGTAAATTACTCGTGCAATCTTTCTAACGCGCAATCCAGAACTATGCATCAAAAATTTTAATGTGGTTAACCTTTGACCCAGCTATTATGCTTTTGGAAATTTACTGCAAGGAAATCATCTAATAAAAATACAAAGAGGAAGGATACTGCAGCATTATTTATAACAATGAAAAACTAGAAATAGCCTAAAACACATAAATAGGCACTGGTTAAATAATTTATGGTGGTACATCCTCACAATGTAATACTATAAATATGTTATAAAAAATGAGGACAATTTATATCTGTATGTATTGACGTGCAAATTTATCCAATATATTTTGAGTTCTAATAGGTTACAAAACAACATATATTATGATCCCAATTTATGTTAAAAAACACTAACTTTCATTTTGTAAAATACTGTTGTTTTTTTTAAAAGATTTAATGGCAAAACATTAACTACTGAGGCTGGGTGGTGGGTGAATGGGGATTCAGTACACTGTTCTCTCTACTTTTATATGCATTTGAAATTTCCATAATAAAAAGGGTTTTTTCCCCTTAAATATCACAATGTATTTGGTATTTTTTGGTATTTCATTAAGAGTTCTTCCATTACAAAATAAAAAAGAGGTAGAACAAATTTTGTTAATCCAAATTATTGTCCAATAAATAAAACCTAGTGCCAATAAATTCAAAATACAGTCCAGCTGATTTAAATCCATTTTGAATATTGCTCACAAATGATAATAATACATTAGCAAAATATTATTTCTACAAGACAGGTTTTTGCAGTGATAGTTACACTAAATCAACAACCACAGTTGCCATAGAGGTAGCAATGGTTTCATAAGCCTAGGATAGATAGAGCTGGGCATTAGACAGGTGATCAGAAAACAAGGTAAAAGAAAAGGAGAGTTCTTTACAAATCCTTAAGACAAAATAAATAGTAATATTCAGAGCTTCCAGGCTAACAATGAACATTCAGACAAATGGGGTGGAGCTACACCAGTGGGATTGGTGTGAAGAGGATTTCTCTGACAGACAGAGGCGGTGCTGAGCAAGCAGTGCCAGATGAGGCAAGCCTCTCCTTTGCTCCCGACACGCAAAGGCTGGCCAAACCATTGCCCTGCTGGACTGATTTTTGACCTCCGACATCTTGTCCACAGTCCCTCCTACCCTGCCCCTCCTTCGCTGCGAGTCATCAGGATACTCACAGACTTGTGATGTGGCACTACCTGTGTCATCTATACTCTTCCCTGGCTTTCTAAAATTTTGAACAATGTAAATATTACTTATGTCAAAAGCAAAAATTCTAAACCAAATGTGCGGTATGATTGCAACGTTGTAGAAATTACACACAGATGTTACAGAGAGAAAGGGGATATGGCAAAATGAAGTAGTTTTGGTAGAATAGTAGGATTATAAATTTTTTATTTGAGTTTTTTTTGCTTTGTTTTGTTTTGTTTTTCACTTATAAGATTTCCTTTAAAGCCCTGGCTGGTGTGGCTCAGCGAATTGATTGCTAGCCTGCAAACCAAGGGGTCACCGGTTCAATTCTCAGTTTAGGGCACATGCCTGGGTTGTAGGCCAGATCCCCAGGCCGGGGCACGTGAAAGGCAACCACACACTGATCTTCTCCCCCTCTTTCTCTCCACCCCCTGACTGTGAAAACAACTGATTGTGAAATCACTGGGTGTAGGGGTAGGATCTGCTCTATTTTTGAGCAAAGAGTCTTTCAGTGCCACCTGTCTGCTCTGTGGTGAACCCACATCCCGTCTTCAGACCAGGGGACCACAGAGGACCTGCATGGAATTGGTCTCCCAACTCTTAGGCCAGCCATTCCCCTGTGTTTCTCAGACCCTGCATCTCACCTCTCAGGAAGGAGCCTCATGCCCGCTGTGCAAAGAATGTAAAGGGGGGTCTCCTTGTGCTTCTTCACAGGCACATGAGCAGCAGCAAAGCTCAGCAGAGGGCGAAGGTAATCGCTGGCATGTTCAGGAGTATCTGCCATTGCAGAGATTCCTTAAGAAAGATAAAGTACCTTTTTTAAAAAATAGATCACATACACTCAGAAAACTGATACCCACGAGGCTCTGCTTAAGGTCCTAAACATTTATTTATTTGAGAGAGGGAGGCAATGAATGAGAGACCCCCCCCATTATCCAGAATCTCCAGAGAAAAGGGCAGCTTGCCTTCCCCTTCCCTCTTCTCTCCTCTCCTCTCCTCTCTCATGCCTATAGCTGATAAAAGAGATCAAAAAGGAACAAATTCCAGTTCGTACCTGGCTTGATTTTTTTAACCACTGGTTGGCTATTTCGGTCTCTCATCTGTTTGATGTCTAGCAAGTCGTGGGGGTTCCCATTATGTCTCGGCCAAAAATAAACAAAAATCCGGGAGCCACTGCTGCCACAGTCCACAACAAGTCCGTAATTCAGATTTGGGTCTTCGGTGTTGGTAGCTTCAAGATCCCCTACTCGAGCCAGATACCTAAGCCAGAAAGGAAAAAATTCAGCGTGAAGAAAAAGCCAGGTCCACAAAAGGCACTGCCATCGAATCCATTGTTTATGAATCTTCATTCAGCGTCTAATGTGCCAGGCACCTGGGGCCATGGGCCCCGACAAAGGAGTGAAACAACTGTGACCACGTGCACTGATGTATACGAGGCAACTGCAGGTCTGTTTGCCTAGAGGACAATGAAGTTAGGTAACTAAGACTCCTCCAAATTTGGGGGAAGTTCTGGAACTGGCTGTGGTAACAAATCTTTTACCAAGCATTAAAGATCTTCTAGGCCCAGGGAAATAACTGGTTTTTGTTGTTATAAGCCACTAACTTCTGGGGTGGTTTGTTATATACTCTAAATAACTAAAACAATCCTAGTAATTTCTTTTCTATCTATTTATCCTGTTTCTAGATAAACATAAGAATACTATGGAATGATATACCACACTTAATATGTATTTCTGTGTGGTGACATTTTTATGAGGCTTTTTGGTTTGCATTTTAAATTGCTATAATTACATCGATACACATGTATTTCATGAAAAGAATAATTATTCTTTTCTACAGTCTTTTAGAAGTTTTGTAATTGTAAAAAGAATGTTCATAAAATATGTAGTATAGAGTATAAAGAAAACTAATGAAACAATGCCTGCATGCCTAACACCCAGATTAAAAACAAAACATTGCACTGTAACACAATAAGAGCTTCTAGGCCGTAAGGCAGTACTTTGTGTTGAGATTTTCTTAGATTCTCATCCCAAGACATCTGACTGACAGCAGGAAGATGAATCAAGTAGAAAATGTTGCCAGCAACACCGAGGTCTGTGTCAGCTCCAGTATTCTCCGTGCTGTGGACCTCAACAATTTACTCAACTTCTCTCGGACTGTGTCCTCATCGGCAGCGCTAGGAGAGCAGAGTCTCCGCCCTCAGGGAGACTGTGCCTGCCCCGCAGTCAGCACAGTGCTGTGCTGCTGTGGCCCTGCTCTTACCACATGACAGTACTGGGGAGAAAATAACAGAAGACTCTCTGGAGAAAGGGGCTGAAAAATCCAGAAAGAAAAGGTTAAGAGTTGGTAAATACTTCTGAGCCCTGAGGCTTTAGATAATATTAAAATTCCCTCAGAGCCTGAGGGTCTGAAAAGTACAAACACTGCCTCCTCCTCAAAGTTTCACTTGAAAAGGAGCCCTGTGAGAATGGCTTTTAGCTTGTTATTCAGAAAAGAAGAGCTTTTCCTTGGTGCTGAGAATATATGAGGTCTGAGGCCTTCCGACCAAGATGGAGGCATAGATGGACACACTGTGCCTCCTCACCCAACCAAAAGAAGGACAACAACAAATTTAAAAACAAAAAACAACCAGGACTGACAGAAAACCGAACTGTATGGAAGTCCAACAACCAAGGAGTTAAAGACAACGTATTTATCCAGACCAGAAGGAGGGGTTGAGAAGGGCAGCCGGGCGGAGAGGACTGGCAGCGGCTGGTGGACCTGGCAAGATGGCAACTGATGGAGTGGCCGGTCCCACGTTTGCGGGCAGATAAACCGGGAGGAACAACTGGGGGGCGAAACAAACCTCGCAACCCAGGGTTCCAGTGGGGAAATAAAGCCTCAAACCTCTGATTGAAAATACCTGTGGGGGTTGAGGTGGCAGCGTGAGAAACTCCCAGCCTCACAGGAGAGTTCACTGGAGAGACCCACAGGGTCCTAGAACACACACAAACCCACCCACCCAGGGAATCAGCACCAGAAGGGTCCAATTTGCTTGTGGGCAGTGGGAGAGGTGACTGAAAACCATCAGAGAGCAGAGCAAGCACCACTGTTCCCTCTCAGACCCCTCCCCCACAGACAGCATCACAACGCAGCCATGTAGATTGCCCTGCCCTGGTAAACACCTAAGGCTCTGCCCCTTACTATGTATGTAACAGGTGCACCAAGACAAAAAAAAAATGGCCCAAATGAAGGAACAGATCAAAGGTCCAGAAAAAATACAACTAAGCGACAAACAGTTAGCCAACCGATCAGATGCACAGCTTAAAACAGTGGTTATCAGGATGCTCACAAAATTGGTTGAACTTGGTTGCAAATTAGATGAAAAAATGAAGGCTACCCTAAGTGAAATGAAGGAAAATGTACAGGGAACCAATAGTGATGGGAAGGAAACTAGGACTCAAATCAACAGTGTAGACCAGAAGGAAGGAAGAAACATCCAACCAAAAAAGAATAAAGAAACAAGAATTCAAGAAAATGGGAGAGGCTTAGGAACCTCCAGGATAACTTTAAACATTCCAACATCTAAATTATAGAAATATCAGAAGGAGAAGAAGAAGAGCAACAAATTGAAAACTTATTTGAAAAAATAATAAAGGAGAACTTCCCTAATCTGGTAAAGGAAACAGACTTCCAGGAAGTCCAGGAAGCTCAGATAGTCCCAAAGAAGTTGGACCCATGGAGGAACATCCCAAGGCACATCATAATTACATTACCCAAGATTAAAATGAAGGAGAGAATCTTGGAAGCAACAAGAGAAAAGGAGGCAGTTACCTACAAAGGGGTTCCCATAAGACTGTCAGCTGATTCCTCAAAAGAAACCTTACAGGCAAGAAGGGGCTGGAAAAAAGTATTTGAAGTCACAAAAGGCAAGAATCTACATCCAAGATTGCTCCATCCAGCAAAGCTTTCATTTAGAATGGAAGGGCAGATAAGTGCTTCTTAGATAAGATCAAGTTAAAGGAGTTCATCTCACCAAGCCCTTATTATATGAAATGTTAAAGGGATTTATCTACGAAAAAGAAGATAAAAAACATGTATAGTAAAATGACAACAAACTCAGTTATTAACAACCACGCCTAAAACAAAAACAAAAACAAAAGCAAACTAAGCAAACAACTAGAACAGGAATAGAACCACAGAAATAGAGATCACATGGAAGGTTAGCAACAGGGGAGTGGGAGGGGGAGAGAGGGGGAAAAGGTATAGAGAATAAGTAGCATAAATGGTAGGTAGAAAAGAGACAGGGGTAGGGTAAGAACAGACTAGGAAATGTAGAAGCCAAAGAACTTATATGTATGACCCATGGACATGAACTAAAGAGGGGGAATGTGGGTGGGAGGGGTATGCAGGGCAGAGGGGAGTGAAGGAGGGGAAATGGGACAACTGTAATAGCAGAATCAATAAAATATATATTATATTATATTATATATATTTATATATAAATATGTATTATATTATGTATTTTTATATCTATTATATACATATAAAAGGATATATGAGGTCTGTCCAGAAGGTATCCAGCCATGTAATATGGAAAATAGAGATTTACTGAAGAAGACACAAGATATAAGTGACACTGTACATAGGACAACACCTCAGTCCCCTTCAAAGTAGGCATTGTGGGACCTCAAGCAGTTCTCCCTCCATATCTTCCTGAATCTCATCAATGGCCTGAAATCTCTTCCCTTTCAAAGGTGATTTTAGTTTTGGGAAAAGCCAGAAGCCACAGGATACCAAATCTGGGCTGTAGCAGGGCTGAGTCACCTGGGTGATTTGATGTTTCACCAAGAAAACTGCACGAGATGAGATGCAGGAGTGGATGCACTGATATGATGAACCTGCCAATCACCAGTGCCCATAGCTGTGGCCTTCTGAATCATCCCAATAGTTTCCTTGGAGGAATGTTCAAGCTTAATGCAAAATTTGATGCAGATTCCTTGCTCTACTTGCTCAATCATTTTGAATGTGATGACCACACAGTACATAAGCTCACTCAACGGTGTCTATTGCCCCCATTGACTAGTAAAATGAAGTTGTCATTGTTCACACATGTGCATTCCAGTCCACTCTTCTTGGCTGCCAGGTTACATAACGGTCGCACAAACCGTTCTCATTATATTAACAATGGCTGCACTTTTTTCCAGACGGACCTTGTATACTGCATGTCAAACAAATTAAAATGTTGTCTTCTAAGTAAATGAGCTAATAATTGAATAAATGCCCTGAAAGCAGTGCTGTGGATTATTTCAGGTATTATGGATAAGTAAGCTCCCTTCCTTATAGATATGTGTCCTACTCACCTCCAAGACCCTTACACAGAACTCCTCAGGACTAAGTTTTGTGAAGCCTGGAGCTAATACAATGGGTGGGGCGGGGGGAAGTCTTTTAAAAAAAGACTCAACATTACAAATACAAAAGGGGCCTATGCAAGTGAGGGGCCTTAAAATGGAGGCATCAGTAGCTTTGTAGTGAGTCCACCTTTGTTCAGGGCACTAAGCCTCGTGCTGTGCCCCTCAGGACTGTGTTTACTGGTGACTTCACATTGCTATACAGACCACAGAGGTTTTCTGTCCTTACTTTGGACAGAAAAGCAAACCTGTTCAAAGAACATGTAGAAACTGTTCTAAAATCAAAAGGTAAGTACCTTTCCTATTCTCCAACGCAATGTGCATTTCATAAAAAGAGGAGATAGCAATGTCTCTAGGGAGTGTAACTGCGCCCTTCCCCACCCCTCCCCCGGGTGCGTTTTCCTTGTGTCTCTCTCTCCCCTAAGCTCCAAAGGCCTTTCCTTTGCCTCTGTAACTTGTTTCCCGAGCCCATTTCTCCTATGACTCATTTCTTCCACCTCTGTAACTTCCTAAATAAACTATCTCATATAGTTTGAAAAAAAAAAAAAGAACATATATTTGAGCTTCACTATAATGCTGTAAATTATTGCATAGCATACAGTCAGGTAGAACAACTTTTTTCTGGATTTGATATGAGAGCAAGTTATGGGAAATGAAACAGGTGGTAAGAGTCTACCACACAACAGAAAGTCGACAGTCCTAAAGATTCCGTTGCACTACGTCCTTTCCCATGCCAGTCAAATTACTGCTGAACTGGGCTCACAATCCACCAATCAACTCAAGACAGCTCACTTCTATCACATGAAACCTGGGCGGGGGCCTGGGTTCACTACAGAACTCGTGCAAATACTGACCTTGAAAGGTACCGTA